TCCACTTCGTTGCACTTCGTTTCGTTCAACTGTTTATAGATTACAGTAGGTTTATAGGTTACAGGTGTGTTGAACTCCACTTCGTTGCACTTCGTTACGTTCAACTGTTTATAGATTACAGTAGGTTCATAAGTTACAGGTGTGTTGAACTCCACTTCGTTGCACTTCGTTACGTTCAACTGTTTATAGATTACAGTAGGTTCATAGGTTACAGGTGTGTTGAACTCCACTTCGTTGCACTTCGTTACGTTCAACTGTTTATAGATTACAGTAGGTTCATAGGTTACAGGTGTGTTGAACTCCACTTCGTTTCACTTCGTTACGTTCAACTGTTTATAGATTACAGTAGGTTCATAGGTTACAGGTGTGTTGAACTCCACTTCGTTTCACTTCGTTACGTTCAACTGTTTATAGATTACAGTAGGTTTATAGGTTACAGGTGTGTTGAACTCCACTTCGTTGCACTTCGTTACGTTCAACTGTTTATAAATTACCAGTTTTCAATGGGAAATTAGTAACGACTTTCAAAATTTTTCATTCATTTTATAAAATTTAATTTTTTTAAAGCATTCATCAGTAAAGTACATTAAAAATCACTCGTAAAGATTTTGTGTTTATCTGTACCATTTCTACTTCATAACGTGTGGATTCTTAACATAAAGATGCAAATCACATCTATATGTAACGTATTTATAACGGATTTTCAAATTTAAATTCAATGAATATCATTTATATGTTATGCAAAAATACGTCAAACCGTTAATAAAATGAAAAGTCAATTTAATTAAGTTGGTGAAGTGTTAAAAATAATGCAATACATTTAAAACAGCATAAATTTATGCTCAAACTTTGTGTGCTAAATGCACATCGCATATTAATAGTTATTTTGCATTAATTCGTAACGGACCTGTGCTTAACGGTTTTTTTGAAAATTCAAATATTCACTTACGAATATTCATGAAAAAATTACTTGTCAATTTTTTTGTCTTACCAGAATATCTTTAGCTGCTCAAATTTATGGTATAATTAATAATGAGTAATATTAATTAAACTATAATGAATCATATAAATGACTTTAGAGCATCAAAAGTATAATATTTAATACAAATCAAAATTTTATATCATTGACATTGGATTTTTTCCCATATAAAAAAGTTTTACATAAATTGTACTATAATTAAGCATTTTTGTGTTTCCAAAGTGTTAAAATATTGTATTGTCACCGGGAATACGTGTGCATTAAAAATTTAAGCTCGTTTGGAGCAGTAGAAGTGGTCGAAAAATCGATTACAAAAGTACGAAATTTTGCGGACAATCAATCAATCAATCAATCAATCAATCAAACAGATAAGAAAGCAAGTTAAGAAAAACGTAGTAAAAACAGACAGATAAGAAAGCAAGTTAAGAAAAACGTAGTAAAAACGTGGTAAAAAAAAACTCCGTTGTCGAGTGGTTCAGCGTGATATTGAAGATCTGCAACTATTTCTTCTGTAAGAACCAAGGTTCGTATCCCACCAGAATTTTAATATCTCTTAATCATGACATTGTGCAGTGGTTCTAAAACTGTGTTCCTTAACACGCTAATGTCCCTCTAGTGCAGTGTTGTCCAAACTTTATGAGCCACGGTAAATCTTTGCGGTAAGCAATGACCGAAGTCGCAAACAGCATACGGCTCGTGTCGTTTTCTAGTTTCTCGTAAACCAACAATGTTTGAGAAACTCTGACAATGTTGTGTCAGAAGGAAAGCAAAGATTGATGTATTCAGCATTAAAATTCTTCAGAAAACCTTTTCTCTAATTACTGTCCAAGGAATCCTTGACGATTTCAACAAGGAATCATTAACTTATGACGTCCATCAATTATGGAAGAGAAAAGAGATATTTTAAGATATTTCATTAGAGTAAATTTTGCAATAAAATTTGATACCAAGGAGAGTGAGGGTTTGAGTCTAAAAATCCCAATATTTATGGACATCACTAATAAACCATCCCTAAAACTTCATGAAGATTTAAAAAAAAATTTTCATATGAAGCATCTCCAATTTTCCACTGCAATAATGTCAAGAAAAATCCATATCTTGTTATCCCAGGTCGTTTAACTTCTGCTGAACTAGTCAGACATTCGTCCTCACATGAATAATCTTTTTCATCAAATCAAGCTTAAAAATAGAATAAAGTCACAGGTGGATAAAATTTCTTTATTTTTGTCATCAAGTAAGGGTGAAAAATCACATAACTGCATAGCATTGAAAAACAATAGCTTGAAATGAGACACAAACATATTTTTTTCCGTCAGTGCTAACGTCACGTAGGAATTTTGTGATTTATACAAATTAAAAACTTTTTTTCCATTTCTTCTACAATTTTCATCACGGATTTGGCACTTATAAGTCTTGAAATGTGTCGTCACATCCTCCGTATGGATGTCAATGATGTCTTGACACTCCTAGAATAAAAAAATAAAATGAGAATGAGGATGAAAATGGAATTAAAAGGAAAGTAACTGAATTAATGAAGAGTTTTAATTACAATTGGGTCTGTATGACTGTATTTGTGGATGGAGAGGTGAATTTACTGTTTCGCATTAAGTTTCAGGGATGTATAAGGTTAGTCAGAAGGAATTAAGGAGATTTAAAATAAAAAAGTTTTTTGTGGGTCAACTTTGAAGCATTAAATGCTGGATTAAAGTGTGTAAAAAGGATAAAATAGCTTGGAATATCTTAAATAAGACAAATGAGGTGGCATAAAGCCTTTCTTGTAAACAGTGTTGCAAATGTAGATGTCTACACTAGATGAAGAATGTAGATTCTTCAATAGTTTTTGTCTAGCTAAGAAACTTTTTTCATAAAGATCGATTCTATATGAAGATAGAAAATCTAATCTACACAAAGATTATTTCTACATAAAGAATCTATCTACATAAAGATTCGATGTAGATGTCTACAATTCTACATTTTTTTCAGGTCTACATCAGAGAAGAATGTAGAATTGTAGACATCTACATCGAATCTTTATGTAGATAGATTCTTTATGTAGAAATAATCTTTGTGTAGATTAGATTTTCTATCTTCATATAGAATCGATCTTTATGAAGAAATTTCTGTCTCAGAATTTATCTGATCTAGACAAATAGCCAGAATGCAACACTGCTTGTAAACAATTTAATCTTTGTTTTTGAGTATATGGTTTGATGACAGCTCAGAGAGGTTAAAAAGGTCAAGTTGTTGATTTTAACATTCAAATATTGATTTTAAAGGAAGTGAATATTCACGAATGAATTTATGGATGAATGAGGGAGCTAAAGCAAATGCAAAGGTGGGGGTTGGGGGAGGAGGGTGTAGTATAAATCATAGTCTGTCTAGACTTTAAAAAAAGATGCCGATGCTTTTTTGTCAGAAGAAAGAATCAGTATTAGCAAGAAATTTTAGACATCAACTACCTCTAATTCTTGATCAGCGCTATCTAAAATCCTCAATAGACATCAAAAGCTTTATTATCACCTGCTTTATAAGACGATTAATTTAAATTTCAAAGCAAATCTCTCTTCATCTCTAAAACCCAAATAGACAAAAGTCTCAACATTTCAACATCAATGTCAAGTAGCCAGACGTCAAAACATTTTGTTTATTATGCTTAACTCAGATATCAACACGTCTACTTAACTTTATTTTTTTGCTGACTATCAATTTGTCTAAAGATGATTTTTATTCGCCTAGAGAGAAGATGGAGAATATTGACACAGAACGGAACAGACACAAATAAAAATTCATTGTGAAGCTTGAACGTGACATAGAACGTCCGTGATATTTATTCCAATTCTGAATAAAGTCATTGAAAAAGAAGAAGAAGGGAAAAACCAATTAGTAGTTTACTTGTCCAATTTGCATTTGAGATTGCACGAGCGAATGACACTTTGCTGTTGTTGTTAATTTTTAGATTTATAAGCTGTTGAATAACTGTTGTTAAGCCATTTTACTACTTTTTTTTTTCATTCTTGATTCAATCGAATATTTCTTCTTTATTGTGCTTTGCATAGCACATCAACAACACATGACAGAATGTTGTAGCAATTTGTTAAAATAATAATAAAAAAAAATCTAATCCAATTAAGCATGAACAAAATACGAAAAGTGAATATAAAAATGGATGGAGCGTCAAAATAAGAAGTCAATGGTGAGCGATGAATCATAATAATGTTTATTTTCGTCATTCTGCTTCCACTGCCATTAATCAAATTTTTCTGATATTTAAATAATTTATGGGATCAATTTTTTTGTATTGTCTATCCGCAGGGGTTCTTTGTAAGTGACGTCTAGCAAAACATTGAATTTTAACATCCAGCTTCTTCCTTTGTAAAAGAATTTTCACAACGGGAGTGTGATCTGCTTTAAATTCCAATCCTCTCTTACTTTTTGTACCAATTAGGGCATCCTTTTTGGTAGACGCACCAGAGAATCCTCAAAAATTTATATAATATTCTCCATCCAGCTAAGCGCCTACCTCCCGTCATTTATGAAAGATCTTCTCACTTTTTAAGTCTCAAATCACTCATATCTATCGTTGTTGTAATCTCGTTTTATTTCTCTTCCTTCTTTCTTTACATTTCATACTTTCTAAAACCGGAATAGTCATCAAAAAAATGGTCAAGATATCGAGAGTGTTGTGATGAAAATATCAGGGGATGGCCATATCATGTGTGCGAAATTTATGCTAATTTATTATCTGTATTATGCAATCTTTGTTGATCGTCGACGAGAATAGATTGAAAAAATATTAAATAAATTGGATTTAGGAATGATTCAGAAACTCGTTTTATCCGTTATAACTGTCAATGCAGACTATCAAATAAATAAAATAATAAATGTCTAGTTGCCCCTTCACTGGATCTCCAGATATGAGAAAATTAATCTCATACAACTCGTAACGCTGTTGATTTTTTTTTCTATCTATTTTTAAACTCTTTTTTGTTTTAAGCTTGCTCAGTAGTCGTTCAATAGCTGAATGCGTTCGCTCGTGATGCAATTTCGGATAGTTTTAATAACATGTTTGGTCTACAGCGTGTGCGTACAGACACAAGATATAGGACAGGAAATAACGTTAGGGATAAAGCATGAGTGTGAGGGAGAGTCACAGGAGGTCTGTCATACAACCAAGCGATATCATTTTGTGACCATTTTTAAGGTAAACGTGACTTTTTTGTGAATAAATTGGAATAAAAAAGATTCAATATCCTCAAAATACCCAAAAGGCAAACTTTTTCAAAGCACATCAATATTGTCAATTGCATAATTTGGAGCTCTTGACGATAGACTCGAAGGATGAGGAAATAGCCTTCTTAAATCTATTAAATAGCAAAGGTAAGTCAACTTTCGTTGACGAGGGGGAAACAACATGATGGAAAAATATTTTATGATTATTTGCCATTAATATATTTGCCAATTTTCCGTTAAAATTTTCGTCAATTTGAATTTCTCATCAAAAATATTCCCCATCGTGCTGTTATCCCCTTCGAGAGAAAAGATGCAAATGTCAAAAAAAAAATATTTTTTATCTCCTAAAACAATCTCCAAATTGATAAACATAACCCGATGTCAATAACAACAAATATCCGTCGCCTCCATAATATGAATAATTTGCGCATCAATAGATTTTATCCACAAATCTGCAAAAGATTTCTGGACGAGCGGAACCGACTTAGGAAATGAAGGACACTTCTTCTTCCTGTCAAATGGAAAATCTGTTGACGAACTCACGTGGGCGCATGGGGAACCAAATAATGCCAAGAAGAGTGACAGTAATGAGACTGAGAACTGCATGTCCTTCACAATGAATGAGAATTTAAAATTCTTTCGTCTCTTTGATCGCTTCTGTAGCATGAAATTTTATTTTATATGTCAAGAGACTCGACAGAGGCGAAGAAGTAACGTCGCAACTTCTAATTAAGACTTAATGGATGTAAATGTTTAGTGGATTAAGTTTAAGGAACTGAAAGAAATATCAAAGTTGAAGTCATAATTTTTAGGAAATTTATGGTGACTTTTGGATGGATCCGTTTAGATCAGTGTTATCCAAACTTTTTGAGACTAGGCTCACCTTAGTTGTAGGACCGAAGTCACACACAGCATACGGTTCGTGTCATTTTCAAAAAAATGAAAGTGTGCCGTGACACACAGTTTGGACAACACTGGTTTAGATGATAATGTGAATATTAAGTTTTGGAATCATGAAGGTTGAAAGGAGATGTTATTCTGGATACAAGGCATCATTTGATGTTGATTTGACAGTTTGAACTTCATATTCATTTTATATTGACTCCATAAAACTTCTCTCACTCGAGTTTTTGAGTTTAATGGCATCCCTAGTAGCTTTGTAGTATTTAAAATTTGGAATACACTGCTAATGATATCATGACAATGCCAATTCATTTGGTTCTCTGATACAAGTCATGCTTCATGAAGTCGGAGTGTGTAGTGGCATAACAAGCTAGTTTTTCGAGAAGACCCTACTCTTATGGCTACGATAATGTGCAACTGAATCAGTTGAGTCCAAAAGCTAAGCTTAAAAAAATAATTTGAATGATACTTTGGACATAAACGGATCTATCCAATTTTCACATCAAACAAACCAAATATCAAAAAATAAGCACCTCAAAAGCCGTTACTCATTTTTCTTAATTTGATAGTTTTTATTTTTATTTCAATGTTAACATTTATTGATTTTTTTGTTGATACATTCAAAAATTCAGGACATGATAAAAATTTAAATTGTACAAAATATGCACAAAAGTTATATTCCAAAATAAAAAATTGAATTTGACACACGAATGAAAATGCAAATGCAGATGCGTGCAATAATATCTACAAAATTGATATTAAATGCTAAAATAAATAAATAAATTAACTCAAATCAGATGTTTGCATGATGAATATGAGGGTGAGTGGACAAAATAAATAAATAAATAAATAAATTAACAACAATTGGCAGTTGTGGGATGAGGGAATGCATGAATGATCTTAATTATCTATTAATAAATTAATGGATGAATCTGACTGAAAATCTCATTCTGTATATTAATATAACATTTAATGCGATTTGCTACATGATAAGTTCTTAATTATTATAAGACAGTCAATCTTAATATTGCTGTCCTGTATGGCCTGGATATGCACTGCTTCCATACGCTAATCGATGAGCAAAATCTTGTCCTTGATATTCAGGCTGTCCTTGTGTTCTCTTCCATGAGCTACCCCAGTCATCATGTTCATCATAATGATGCTGTCATTTATTAGAAAGTAAAAGTGAAGAATTTATTAATAGAATTAAAAATTGATACGAACCTGGTGCTGCGCGTGTTCCACATATACAACCTTTGTCAATATAATGTATATTGAGTTAGTCATTGTCATTTTTTTTAATTAATATGTTTATGGGTTTTGTTTTTGGCAGCAGATCAGATGAACAGTAAGTGTGTCAGGTTTAAGGTTTTTATTGTTTTCAGTGTGTCAGTAAGTAAGACAGTTGAGAGAGATAAAGAGAAATTTTATTGCAATTTGTTAGTGAAAAGAAAAAATTAAATAGTAAGAATATCCAGTAACAAATTACTGGACATAATTTCCGTTGAAAGCATCTGTGTATCATGTATTGAGCTGAAGATAATCTTACAAAGTTTCAAGCATCCAAATGATTTTAAAATTTTGATTAGATATGTCCAAAAAAGGTGGATTTTGTTGTTGTTGTTTGTGTTTGTAGGAAATTTAAAGTTTTGGATTTGCATTTATTGATTTTTTTTTTGCAGATTTGGTAATTTTATAACTGTTTGATGGTCGGTAGGATTTTGATATGTTGACAGTGTGTGATGCAATGGAATTGTGCTTAATAATTTTTCATTTAAAATTATTCAATTTATTAGCAGTCTCGGGTTTTCTGGGAGAAACAGAATGAAAAGTCAAACTGAACTATGAAAACTCCATTACAAAATTAACAATTAACAATAAAGTCTACTCAATGGGCTCATACAAAAGCCACATCTAAGTTCTACCAAGTAGACTCTATTATTATTCATAAATCTCATCGTGGTGAGCCCTTGAAGGGTGCGGAACTGATCAAAATGATAATAATCATCAAAAATGAAGAAAAAAAACTTAAGTTTTAAGTTCCGCGCCCTTTAAGCTCTTAAAGATCATTGTTGACGACTTTTTCATTTGTGTTGCTCGGGTAATGTAATGTTTTAGATTTCTGAGGTATTTTCCGGTCTGTACTAATCCTGTGTAGTTTCATATAAACCTTATTGTCTGATATGTATCCCAAAAGTCGATTAAGTGTCAGTTAAGTCAATGAGGAGTAAGGCACTACGTTTTGTGGAACCTGTCAGTTCCTCCTTACAACTCTAATGAGTTGGATTATTAAGGTAAATTAGGTCAACATTACATGGATACGAATTTAATTCAAGGGATTGTCATTATAACCATTAGAATATGTTTGAGTAATTCGAGTCATACCTCGTCAGTTCTGTCATATGGACCATATGGACCTCTTCTATACCAGTCGCGTTCCTGATTTCAAAAATAATAAAGCTCATTAATAGAGGAATCAGGGTCAGTAGGAATTCTTAATAAGTCATGCTGGATTTCAAAAAACCCTTTTTAATTTAAAGATTCATCAGAAATAAACTTCAATCTTTAAGAATCTCAGTCAATCACGTCCTAACAATTTAAATTTAAATCAGCAAAAAAAAAGCCACAATCAAAACTTTAAATTTCCATCCATATCAATCACCTTCCCATGGAGAAGAAAAATACAAAGAGATATCCAAAGAGTCAACAGAAATTAGCATAAAAAAGAAGAAAATGTTGGAACTTAAACTCTTACCTTTTGCGGCTGCTTCTTCAGATCAATCCAGAATCTTGCCAAGTTGATTATCATGTTGATCAATGCAATGGCAAGGAATTTAATTTGCAAGTGGAATGAAAGAATTTTCAACAACATTTCAATCTTTGCCTTGATGATTGCACCGAGGAAGAACAATTTCATCATTCCTTTCTTGCCTTTCTTTCCTTTCTTACCTTTTCCTTTATATTTTTTTTTTTTGGATTGTTTGGAAGAAAGAAAATATGATTAAATTATTTAATGAAGAATGCAATGAGGATGAATTAATATTGTGGCTAAATACTCTCGATTGAGCTTTTCTACTGTAAAATGAGCTTTTAATTTTTTGTTTTTTTGGCTTGAGAATAAGATCATGGTTTTTGTTGTTATTTCTCTCTAATAACATTATTGATTAATCTTGCTAGATACCTGGCACGTTAAACTTAAGTATTTGATGAAGAATTGTGACATTTTTAAGTACAAGACTATTCCAACTGTCTTGCAGATTCAACAGAGTTCAAGAGCTAAAACTAGGTCTACGAACTAATCTGTCTACTCGCCTAGTAAGGAAACAGTATCAATCCGAATGGCACAAGTCGGTTAATCAATCAGAAATCCGAAAACAATCCCGTGCGACTCTGCATGGTGCTGGATTTAAATCGAAGCCAGTATCATGCCAGAGTCATGCCAACTTTTCAACCGATTTTTCTATTCGATTATCCGATTTGTGCTGTTCGGGTTAGCGTTATTAGAAGAACAACAACATGAAATTTAAGGTTTGACTAGTTACAGCTCTAAATATCTGAATTAAAAGCTCATTTCATTCTTGCCTTTCTTTCGATACTTACTTTTCCCTTTTTTGTTTGGTTTTGAATTGTTTGGAAGAAAGAAACAATGATTAATTAATTTAATTCAGTAAATATATTACATAAGGTGCGCGCAGTTCGTTTAGACGCACTTAATTTTTTTCAAATTTTCCTTTAATAAACACTATTAAGACAAAAACTATTTTATGTGTTTATAGCTATGACCAATTAGGTTATAAATATAATAAAAGTACCTGACTAAATGCTTTGCTTAAGTAATTAAAATAATTTTTTCAAAAATTACAACAACAAAGTGCGCAGTTCGTTTAGACGCACTTTGAAAAATCTAAAATTTTGTCTTATTTACGTTTCGTAGAAAACTTAATCGTTTCTAATATTAATCTATCAACAAAAACGAGTAATTACTGAGGGTTTTAGAATTTTCCATCAAGTTTTTCCAGAGATTTTCCTTCATTAAAGTTTTCATGTTGCAAAAATTTTGATAAATTATTTATCCAATAATTTTGCGTTAAATTATTATTCTTTTAACTGATTTCCATAGATAATTGTCCATAATATTAGAAAATTAACAGATATTTAAGCTTTCTTATAAGTATAAGGCGAAAATATGTGAAAAATATAATTATGGTGAAAAATTTTCCACCACTCTCATAGATTAATCAACAAATTTTGACAAAACTGTAGATACCATAATAAATTTGAATAGACCAGCTTATTTATCGTATTAAACTTAGTTAAAAACAGAAAACTGCACAGCTCTATGGCTAATGGAACTTGAAAATTTTACTGAAAAATTAAGTTGTGGTGAAAAAATTCACCATAGAAAAATAAAATTTTAAAAAACGTTGTTTTAGGCAATTGTTTCATTTAAATTAGGTTGTAAAAGTGTTTCTGTCTCAAAATTAATCAATTTAAAACATGAATTAAAACCTTAGACATAGTTTTTTTAAAATTTTATTTTTCTATGGTGAATTTTTTCACCACAACTTAATTTTTCAGTAAAATTTTCAAGTTCCATTAGCCATAGAGCTGTGCAGTTTTCTGTTTTTAACTAAGTTTAATACGATAAATAAGCTGGTCTATTCAAATTTATTATGGTATCTACAGTTTTGTCAAAATTTGTTGATTAATCTATGAGAGTGGTGGAAATTTTTCACCATAATTATATTTTTCACATATTTTCGCCTTATACTTAGAAGAAAGCTTAAATATCTGTTAATTTTCTAATATTATGGACAATTATCTATGGAAATCAGTTAAAAGAATAATAATTTAACGCAAAATTATTGGATAAATAATTTATCAAAATTTTTGCAACATGAAAACTTTAATGAAGGAAAATCTCTGGAAAAACTTGATGGAAAATTCTAAAACCCTCAGTAATTACTCGTTTTTGTTGATAGATTAATATTAGAAACGATTAAGTTTTCTACGAAACGTAAATAAGACAAAATTTTAGATTTTTCAAAGTGCGTCTAAACGAACTGCGCACTTTGTTGTTGTAATTTTTGAAAAAATTATTTTAATTACTTAAGCAAAGCATTTAGTCAGGTACTTTTATTATATTTATAACCTAATTGGTCATAGCTATAAACACATAAAATAGTTTTTGTCTTAATAGTGTTTATTAAAGGAAAATTTGAAAAAAATTAAGTGCGTCTAAACGAACTGCGCGCACCTTATTAGCTTTTAGTTTAGATTTTTAAAGCAATAACTAGTTTTCCTTAGAGTTTAATCTTATAGCTTGGTTAGAAATTTAACTTTTTAGTAAGGATGGAAAATCATTAGGACTGGCTCAGAATAAGCAACAGATAAATAGTGACGAGATACTTTGATAAGCTAGGATATGTTCTCAGGTGAGCTGTATCAAAATGAGAGCCAAAACTGGACTAAGGATTATTATCAAGTTTCACTTTCTTTCAACTAGATCCATCGAGAGTATTTAGAATATTTTGTTGTACATTTTTATGTTAAATCTTTACATGTAGCATAGAATGAAATGTTGATGTTGGATGAAATATTTATAAATGATATGATGCATGTGTGTCATATATAATGTGATATGTGGTAACATGATTTATTAGTCAATGAGTTTTAAAAAATTATTCATGGATTATTTAACACAAAACAATTTTTCATTCATACATTCTATTTATGCTGTCGAGTCGGTTAGTTATTGATATTATTATTTTTTGTAAAAGCAGTAGATGAAATAAAGCACGGTTATGCAGTTAAAAAGCTTTTTTAAAACATTTGTAAGGTTCGCGTCTCTCATTTTTAAAATCTCATGTTGAGAGTGTTGATGAAAAGCGAGAGAATTACAATGTAGATGAGTAGCCACCATGAGTGCAATTTTAATCATTAATTTATGGCGATATTGCACGATAATGGTTAATAATTTATCTTAATTGCATTATTCTACTTACAAAACTTTCTTATGCGTATGTTTTTATATTTTTGCTGATAATGAACTCGATTGGACAAAAATGGCATTTGTGGATAGACACTTAATAGATGTGACAAGTTAATTTAATTAACTAGGTGAAAAGTTTTTAATTAAAAGGAATGTTTAAGTTACAAATTTCAATTAGGAATTCAAATAAATTTACAACTTAATTAAATTTCTCTTTAGAATCGACAAATGCAGTTCAGTCCAACTTTACTAATGAATTGTACAATTGTGGATGAAAGTGTCAGTACACAAAAATATGTGAAATCTTTTCTAGTGAATTATTGAAATCAAATAAGAACATAAACACCAAATGGAACTGCAGATTTCATCTAAGAAATTGCACATTTATGTTCCAAAAATTCACAGTCCATAAATGAATTTTAAGCCACGTGAGGAAATTTTTTACAAATGAAATGTAGGAATTTGGGAAAATTTTAATATTTATATAAACATAAGGAACGGGATGTAGATTTGCATGAGTGCTCCGACTCGAGACTCGTTAACGGCATCTATTTATGTTTTGTAATGTTATAAGCAGACGTGGGAATTCATCAGTGCGAATTTTTATCGTAATTTCATAATTTAATATTTCTTCTTAGTTATTGAATGATCGGACTCTAGTAAGAATCGAACCAATGTCCGACACATGAAAGAGATTATAAGACGTCCTCACTGTCTGTTTTGTAACATTTAAGCCACACAATCCTTTTCCTAACTTCGAAAGATTTCCTTACAATTTCTTGATATTACGGATCACACGCTTTTCAGATGCATGATTACTTTTTCACATTTTAGAACAGACTTGAAGTTTTGCTATTATGAAAGGCTATCTCGAATGACACAAGTCTGTTAATAAATCAGAAATTCGGAACTTACCCGGTGTTGCTCTAGTATGGTGCTGAATTTAAATGGAGGGCAGCACCATGCCAGAGTCAAGCCGGTTTGGTACAAGATTTTTATTCAATTAACCGATTTGTGCTATTCGGGTATAAAAGGTTCTATTATTAAGCTAGTAAATTCATCAAAATTGAAAATTCAAAGTTTTGGCTTTTGAAGATAATAAAATGACAGAAGAACCCATCAACATTCCCAGCTCTGGAAAATCATAGAGTAAGTAGTTGAGTAAGGTTCTAAACATTACCCAAGGCAGTTGAAAAGTAAAACTGAGTGAAGTAAAATAAACAAGCTGCAGCATTTAAAAAAATTAACCTAATTAATTAAATTGTTGCTAGTTGGCATCTTTTAATGAGCTTATTGATGTTTTCAATTATTAATCCATTAAATTTAATTTCCTGGGAAGTAGTTAAGCATATTCTTAAGCTGATTATCATGAATTTTTGATGTCTTATGAATCTTTGAAATTTTTGTTCCTAGCTTTACTTAATAATTCATTAATCTCTGCCTAATTACCATATTTTCCAATCTCTTAACCATTCAATTAATTCACTTTTACATCCATATGCTGCTCAAGAGATGTATTAATTTATTATTGGATGTATTTTTGAAAGGTTTATTGCGGTGCTCTTGTTTTGCTCACTAATTGTCTGCTATCAATAACAATAAAGCAAATAAATCAAAGGAAATTATGGAAACGCACTTGAGGGAAAGCAGTCGGTGCATAAAAAGCTTCATTATAGCGACATCAATTAAAGATAAAACATAAAGTAAATAAGAAAACTGGAAAAAAGTATATCATGCAATTATAAACTGTAGCATAGCAACTAATTAGCACATTTTAGACGGAATTTAAGATATCTATATTTGTAAGTACGTGTATGTAAGTGATGCCGTTAACTGCTGAATAATATTTTCACTCACTTCTTTTATTAAATAACTTATCAGGTGAATTTCGTAGAAATCTCACTTTACGATTGTTAGGAATGAAAGAGAAAAGTTATCTACGCAATGTTTCTGGTTGTTGCTGTATCTTTGTATGGATTGTGTGAATTTTTTTGGTCAGTAAATGAAGGTTGATAAGGAAATGTGTGTTTTTTTGGCAAAATTCAAAGCAAGCAAATGTTAATTTATTACCATAACCACCATAACTCCATCCATCACGTTCATCATCATATCCATATCCTTGTTTCTTATTTCCTTTGTACCCCTTCATTCCTTTAGCTCTACCTTCTTCATCATCTTTGGTTATATTACCTTCTGTCCTGACTGTATCATAAATTGAAAAGTCATCATTAAAGTCATTTGAATCGTCATCATCAAGCTGCTTCGTCTGTGTCTTGTCCAATGCACGACTGTTTCGTCCACGGAGGCTATAATGAATTATTATTGTGATCACTTAGCTTATTTGCATATATTTTTCATTTACTTATCAACTTCGTCTGTAATGATATTAGCCAAGGCACTTAAGCCCTTCTCGAGTGAATTCATAATCTCCGATGGTTGTTCCTTCTTCTCCTCATCGCTCAATCCTCTTGATGTCTCACTTTCTTTCACTTCTTTATCCGCTTCATCTACACAAAAAGAGAGAGAAATAAGAATATTGTAAATAAATTGTCACTTTCTTCCACAACCGAGTCTGTTTGCATCCCACAAGCTTATTCCCTGTTTTGGACATTTTGCAGTTATTCATTTCTGTGTAAAATAAAATTACTCGAGAATCCGTTTTAGATTTACTTGATTTTCTTGTTGGCAATTCCAGTTGATAACCCAGAAACACAAATACTTTTCCAATATATAAGAATGTGCCTCACTGTGCATCTCATCACATTCTAATGGAATTAATGTAACATATGCATGAATTCTTAACAAAACGTGCTGATGAAAAACCTCTTGGATGTACTGTTTTGTTTGTGGATGTACATGTAGCATTGATGTGATTTTTACCGTGAAATTGCAAATGCTGTTTTTGCTATAATTTTCAGCAGTGTTGCAAATGTAGATGTCTACACTAGATGAAGAATGTAGATTCTTCAATAGTTTTTGTCTAGCTAAAGAAACTTTTTTCATAAAGATCGATTCTATATGAAGATAGAAAATCTAATCTACACAAAGATTATTTCTACATAAAGAATCTATCTACATAAAGATTCGATGTAGATGTCTACAATTCTACATTCTTCTCTGATGTAGACCTGGAAAAAATGTAGAATTGTAGACATCTGCATCGAATCTTTATGTAGATAGATTCTTTATGTAGAAATAATCTTTGTGTAGATTAGATTTTCTATCTTCATATAGAATCGATCTTTATGAAGAAATTTCTGTCTCAGAATTTATCTGATCCAGACAAATAGCCAGAATGCAACACTGATTTTCAGTTTGCAAATTAAGTCATAGAGTTGATGTTGAGCATTTTATGCTTATGCGAGGATATAAACGTTTTTTATCAGAAGCAGTCAGGTGCTAATAGGAAATTATTTGAATTCTTCGAGAGGAAATGAACGGAATGTTGACAAATTGGGAATTTGTTCATGTTTAGTAAATTGAATTTTGTGATGTTGATGCTATTTTTTTTAAAAGGCAGAAGCATCTAAATTTGGAAATTATTTGATATCCTGTGTTTATTCTGTGGTTTGCGACTAAGTTGGATCCAATCTTTAGTTGAGAACCATTCAAAGATAAGCTTTAAAGATCCTAGAGAATTTTAGAATGATCTAGAAAACCAGTAGAAATGTAGTCGAATAAGGAATCCATGAACTTACTTTCTTATCTGTAATCAATGCTTCAATCTGTAAATCAATAAAGTTACAACTTAAATAATAGACAAAAACTTCCATAATCTTGGAATTGAGTAATCCATGCTGAACATTTACATCAAAACACCGTTAATAATTACAATCAGCATAATTTCAGCACATAACTAATTATGCGTACCCACTTATGCCTGCAAATGACCCCAAAATCAGCTAATTAGAGGAAATGGAAAGGAAAAGGAAATTTGACACAATAATCAAGCATCACCGCCACTTGCTCTTGATACTTTCTACGAATAAAACTCAAAATTACTTAATTTAATCAGCAGAAACTCACAAGAAGACCAAACTTGTGAGTCATTTTCCATGGTCAGTTAACAAGTGTACATCGTCATACATGGAGAATTTTCACAGCATTTTATAAGTGAAATGGAACGCAAACAAAAATATTTGTTCATCAACATCACTTTCATAGGTCTAAACTTGTGCGAGCAAGTCACACGACGTTATTATCACTTTAATTCATGTCCGACAGCGTGATAATTTTTATCGACAGCTTTTTAATTGAAATTATTTGATTGATACGCGTGTGTGGTCTATTGAAAGTTTATGGAATGCAATTGATTATTACTATTTGCTGCACGAGAAACTTGTGTCAAATTTCATGCACCTTATGAGCATTATTGTGATTAATTGTCTTTTGGAGATGATTAACAAGTGTTTATGGGATGTTATGCTGGCTGTCACATATTTTATGATGCAAACCGCAACAATGGAAAATATTTTCGGTCAAAGGGACCATCAGCATCTTGACTCTCTAACCTCGAAATTGTTCATTTATAACTCAACTTGAGATCATTTAAAACACACATTAAAATTTAAATTGATGAGAAATCAATGCGAGAGAAATTCGTGAATTATTGCTTGACGGGAAGTTATGATGATACTTAACACAAGACCCTACAATTGAATCAATGCTTTTATCACGCGCACATGAACGAAATAATAAAATAATGAGATTTTTTTCACTTTTTTCTTTTGATTCAATTAATAGATTTTGTTTTGTCTATCATTCAGGTCATGAGGTCGAAAAGTGAAATTTTAAAATATTCATTATTTATTTTTGTTCATGTAAAAATTAATTTAACATGCCACGTGAGAGATTAATGCTTCAAAAATGTAAAATTCCGTTATTTTTTATGAGTAAAATTTTGAGTTTTTAACGTTTTTAACCAATATTGAATATTCCCCTATAGGGTAAATGACCTTGAAATTTGCGCAAATTCACACAAGAAAATTTCATTTGCTTCAAGCTCTTCGGAGGATTGAAATTGAGCCCTACCAGCGATCTTGAAATGCAGGGAATCATTGATATTTTTGTTTTTCTATGGATATAGGAAGCTCTGCTGTGTCAATGCCAAGAAATTTGACTTTCAAGTTTGAACTTTGAAATTTGCGCAGAAAACTTTGAAATTTGCGCAAAAAAACCTTGAAATTTGCGCACTTTTTTGACAGCAATATTGAAACTTGGAAAAAATATTGTTGAAACCATATCCAATTTTAAAATACATTAATCAAAATATAAGGGAAATGATGATGTATATTACCAAATTATATGATTAGATTTAGTTTCGTGAAAATCCGTGAAAGCTTAATGTTCAACAGGACAATCTTAGATGTATTAGGAGTAAATTCCAGCGTGGAAAAAAAACACTAGATAAATGGTTTCAAAATAGTTCAAAAGCACATAATAAATTTAAAAAGGAACAAGCAAAATGATGTATCCATAGTAATTCAATTTTAAAATTTAGTATAAAGTTGAAAATGAAGCTATCTTCATTTTATTGCCTTTTTTGGCCGACCACGTTTCCTGATTACTTGAGTTGATGCTTCATGTTTTTCCTTTTTAATATTCATAATTTTGTCACGCAATTCTTTCTTTTTTTCTCGGTCAATTCATTTTTGAGCTTTCATATCCTCAAGTTCCTTTAATTTTTGAGCAGTTTCCTTCAAATCTTCTGTAGTTTTTGGATCGCCTTATTTGGCTGAATCTATACAACACTTTGCAATTTTGACTTCTTCTTCAGTTGTAAGGACCTTTATTTTTCACTGCGCAAATTTCAAAATTTTTCGTAAAATCTGCGCAAATTTCAAGGTTCAAAAACAAGCCATTTTAAAAATGAATTTTAAATTTTAAAGCAGCAGTTTGTGTTCTGCAGACATTTTCCATTGATCGTCTGAATAGAAGTGCAATTTTCGGATATAATTTTAAAATTTTCGTTTTCATACGAGTGCGCAAATTTCAAGGTTGCGCAAATTTCAAAGTCATTTACCCTAATTTCAAGGGGATTGTCAACTGAATTAACTGTAAACAAATATAGAACTTCCACAAATTTTAGCTAGATTTTCAATTTTAAACATATCAAGAACCATTTGAAGTCATAAGATTTCATTTTAAAAGCTTTACAAAAGTTTCAATTTGTTCCAAAATCATCTCCTTAGATTTGAGCACTTAAGTCCATCATTTTCCACATTCAAAACTTGCAGGATGTGAATACTTATCAACTGTATTCCAGCTGACCTACATTCATGCATCATAAGAGAAACAATCAACAAAAAACAAGTTAGAATCGTTCTCGATAAAGTAAATTTCTTTCCTCTTTATTTTCTCATATCACTTAACGTACCGCAAAAGATAACTGCTCTTTTTCCTATCCGTGGCACTACTTACACACATTTTTTCAGCATTCAGTTATATCATATGATGAAATTCTACAGCCTTTGTTCTACCAGTTTATTGCATAACAACAATTAGTATCAACATTGATCTTGATGTGCGTAAATTGCTAGCTATGGCTATGATTATGCACATGAGAAATAAATTGAATCGAACGATGAAGAAGAAGCGGTTTCTATGCGAAACAATAAATTGCTTTTTTTTCTCTATCTATAAATACGGTTTTGCAAAAAGGTTAGACTTACTGTTCAGTTCAATAAACATAGGATGTTGAAAACATACTCGAATTGTTCTGTCAATAGACGTAAAGTTGATACTCAATTTTCGTTTAATTATTAGCTTTGTGGTATGGAACAGACAACAATAGTGGCTTATTACTGTGCATGTATCTAGTTTGGAACTATTTATTAACTTCTGAATATTTTTTATCAACTGTTGGATCAGTTTTTGAAGTTTCTTTTTAATGAACTTCTTTTAAGGTTTAAATGCTGTTTGGTTAAATGTGCAGTGGATTATTTGATAACAGAATCTTGAAAATGCATATTTAAGTAGGATTGTTGTTTTTGAGAAATGTGGACTTGATCAATTAAGTTAGGAAATGCTTGTTTTGGAGTTTTAAAATTAATTCATGATTAAAAGAAATTTCAAAAATTTAAGATTGAGATTTTAGATTCGGAATCTTGGAATCATTAAATTTAGGAAATCAATTCATGTTGAGTAACGAAAAATCAAGCTTAAAAAAGTTATTTTGAAGCTTTCCAATGAAAAAACAATATTGAAAGTAAGAATTGAAAAATGTATTGAAAAGTAAAGATATTCTGAATTACTAAACAAATGTTTGTTAAATTTCTCATTCTTCGCAATCCATTAGAAATGAAATCGAAAGTATTAAAATATTTTAAAAATTCCAAGTTTGCCACAAACTTCAGCAGAATCACGATAACTTTCAATCATTATGAAATTCTTCAAACCAACTAATTAAGCCCAAGTTCAATAACTTTTCACAAAAATACCGCAAAATTTCCCCAAAAGCTATAACATTTCAATTAATTAACATTATCATGTAAACATGATTACCGTACCAGATACTACACATGAACTATGTGATAATAATGTTGCAATGAGGTTCAATGAGCCATTCAAGTCTTATCATCAGCAATACTGTAATTGAAAATTATCAGCACAAAATGCGTTAGATAGCAGATTATCCCATCATATTATGACCTAATTAAACAGTTATCTAATGCAACAATCGATGGAATGTTGTTGTGTACATAAAGTGAATTTATCCCACTTAATTACAAGACTTGCTCCACATACATGCGACATTCTTACAAACAAGAATTTGAATAATTTAATTGGATATCAAAAGAATTCCCCAACGCAACAAGAATGTCGAAAATCTCATGCTATAGATACCAAAGATTAAGTGAAAATTATCCATTTCCAATTTCACATATTTGCATCTTTACCACAATGATAAATTGCATTTAAAGTGCCTTAATATCGTCAGATAGATAGCAATTTATAAGAGGATAAAGTATAAGCTCAAAATCAAATTACAATGAGATATGAAAGTAAATAAAAGACAAAAACCAGTCACGACGAGCATTTGAAAACTCAAATAAGAAGAAATCCAAATGTAAGCACAACCATGACTACATGTTGATGCACAGAACATAAATTCTCATTGAATTTGATGATAGAAAAAAAAATCGAAAGGCAGGCATCATCATTTCCATTTCAACCATTAGATGCTTATGCTGAATTTAGATTATCAGCCATGTATATGTGCATAAAATTTTAAGAAGCGGCGAGAATGAAGAAAAAATAGGCACAAAAAAAAGAATTGTCATTTGGGTGCATCGCATGGGAAATGAAAAGTGAATTTCTCTTGCTGAAGATGTCGCAATATCAATAGCAAGGCTGTATCACGTTGCAAAATTTCATCTTCACAAGTTCAGCATCTAATATCATGCTGATTATTGGGTCAGGAATGCTTACATTTGCTTTCTGTCTTTGCCGATTAAAATTGAATTAGAAAATGGCAATGTAGAAACTTTTTTTTATATTTCGTGTAGAAGTGAATGATGCTGCATAGTTTTTGGATACGCTGCATAATTCCATGGGATCATGAAGGCACAAATCATTTTCTGTAATCATCTAATGTAATGGGCTTTTTTATACCTTTCAAAAATGTCATTCTTACATTAACACGGTACATCCAGCTGCTTGATAAGTACAGTATAAAAGAAAGTCAATTGAATATAAATGATGAACGGTTAATTGCATTCTTTAAGTGAATTATACCTTCCTATTTTTCTCGTTCTTAGGTATTTTCTCACCATCTTTAATATGGGTCAATCATGAGTTTTGTCTGTCAAAAATTGCACTTTTAAACCCCCTGTCAATGCCTTGCATTCCACATAAAACAAATATTATAATGTAAATCTACTTAAAACCGATGCTACCAAATACATCATAACCGTACATCCCCAAGTATTATTTATCTATTTTTAAATGCAGTCATGATTAACTGTGAGACATTTTTAGCATCTCTGGCAGCTTTTTATCTATTCTTTTATTTTTTGCGCATATAAAACCTCATCAAAATGTCAAAAAAGTCAGCTTGCGGTTTGCAGCCACATAAACTTTCCGAGATAATTACTCACCCATCAACTGCTGTCGCTTCTCTTCAACTTTAGCTTCCCAAAAGTCCAACATGCGTCCTGTTTGTTCTTTAAGGCAATTTAATGGCTTTGGTGTGACGTAGCATAACGCCACCTCAACGAGTGATGATGATTGTTGGCCTGTAAGATGAAAATTTAAGATTATTATTGGTTTCATGCCTGAAGGATTAATTGATATTTAGAGTTCCATGGAAATTGAGAAAAATCAATGGGCAAGATCAAAAATGAATTGTTCGTGACGCTTAACAATAATTTACAATTTTTGAATCCATAATGCGAAATATGTATTTAAGACTTGTGTTTTTCTTAAAGTCCTTGCCAAGACCTATATTTTGGTGTATAACAAGCATCTCTTAGACATTGTATTATAATTAAAAATTAATTTAAAGTGCTAAGCGTCACGAACAATTTTGAGGAAATTCGATTTTACACCATGTTGCAAATGTAATATCTCTGCGAATACTTCATTAAACATAACGATTTTTTCACCAGATAATTAAGTAATCAGATCATTAAAAGTTTTGTCTAAAATATACAAAATGGCGGATTTGTAAGTTAGCTTAATTCAGCTTTAAAATGTTGAAGCTGAAATTTTGATATGAAGGAAATAGTTTAGGAACTATCTTTCTTTACAAAAAAGGTTACATATGTAATTTTCTTTAAGTCTGTGAGAGAAAATTTTCAATTCTACAATAATTAACCAAGTTATGATGAGTTTTACAAAACTAGTCATAAGTCATTGCTGTGTTATTCGTCTACTGATTTTTTCATTTCAAACTATAGAATTCAACAATGTTTATCATATTGCAAAAGAAATATTACTTTTTGTTCAAAACAAGCAGAGAAAATTAAATTATAGTAAAAAATTTGACCAACAATTTTGTAACGGTTTTTAAAATTATAAATTTGTGAGCAAATAAGAGCAAAATTTGTTGCTCAACTTAAATTTCATTGTTTTTATAGTTAATTTAACTTACTTTAAAGCCTTTTTCGAATGTTAATTAAATAGTAAAAGACTCTTTAGATATCAAGTAATTGTTCTTGACCGATTAAGGTTAATAGTTTTGTTTTAAAAATACATTTTACATTCAATTTGGTTTTCAGTTAATTTAACTAAAATAACTCATTTTTAATAAAATCTATTTTGATCATATGATAGAAAAAAGCAAGCTCTACAACTTTTGTCAAGCTTCCAAACATTTATCTTGCTTTCTTTTCAAAGAAAAATCGATTTCAAATATTAATTTGTTAATTAAACTTACTTAATAAGTCGCCATTTTAAAAATGAATGTTAAAAGAAACTTACTATTATTAGCTATCATGTAGTGAAGGAATCATATTAATTAAGTTATTAAAAGCAGAGAAATCTGAATTTGAATATTTATTCCCTTTTTTTCTGATCTTGCCCCAATAGATTTTGAAAACTTTATTAAGTTTATTATTTTTTGATGAATAGCCAAAAGCGATTGAATGATTGGTATCCCGTCCCGTATCACTTTATGACGCTTTACTTCTTCTCACCTAACAATTTATTTCATTAATAGCTATAGCTGTGTGATATGCTGTGCATGTGAAATCAATCGTACATAAATAGTAATTGAATCAAAGAATTTTTATGTCAATTTCTCTGAGGGCAACAATTGATGACTATGAGCCACACTTGAATTTATAATTTTTGATTGTAATACGCACAATGATTATTTAAAGACGAAGCTTATTGACCACAAAATTGTAAACTTTTGCGATTGGAATTTTTAATTTATTTTACTTTCAGGTTTTGCGTATAATTCTGAATTGTAGGTAAATAGCAATCGACAGGCGATTTAAAAGTTTCATTTTCTAGTGTCTTGTGATACTTATCGTTTAATGGATAGTAAAATATTTTTAATGTCAAGATATGGGTCATAAAGTTTAGCATTCGAATATTATTTGCGGATGATTTGAAATGAAATTTGAAATGTTTTTATATTTTGCTGTATGACCAATCACATGATCTCTTTCTTGAAATTTTAAAGCTTTGTAACTTATTAAATTCAATGTTTGGTATCTGTTGACTATAACTATAGCTTAACAATCTTATATTTGGAACTCGGTTCGCACGTTTCGTGTTTTGAATTGAAAGTAGTTTTTAAAAGTTTACAACCTGCAATTAATTATTATTCTACATCATAAAGTTCTTAAGCTTAGCTTCATGATACACAGGCATGACATAATGCTTTTGCTGATTGCGTCAGGCTCATTTACAACACAATCATTTAACATGTTAACAACATCAATCAATATACTTAAAAATTGCAAGTTGGAACTTAAGAAACCAAATTTTAAAGACTAAGAAATTAATCTTTAAAACCTCGCAGTCACTAAGTCTCATTCACATATCTTGAAGGCATTAAGCTAAGATTTATCTTGGAAAAATAAAGAAATGTTGTTTTAAAATGAAAAATCTTTGCAAAAACATCCACAGGAGAAGCTTCATGAGAATTTCAGCAGATGAACATTACAACAAGGCACAAAAATCATAGATTTAAAATTCTCATTTATGGTAACAATCTCCGCATGAAGATGTTAACTTTGAACTTTCCGATATTTATTTTGGCAAGTAACTCAACTGTTGTCTTGTCATAACAATGAATTGCCATTTTACATCTACAAATTATTGTTTATTGGAAACAAGATTCTGAAGAGTGAAAACAAAATTCACGAGCAGTTAAAAAATTTACAAAACAGCTTGTTAAAAATTCCACCTGAATGCCAAAGGCTATTGATGAGAAATTCTGTCGAAAATGTCTCAATTTCCACACGCCTTATGCTGTCATGTCATGCTTATTCAAAAATTCAATAATCCTCTTCAATTTCAAAACATTTATTTACTCAAAATTGTTACTGTCCCAAATTAGGTCAGTTACCAAACGTGGAGCACTTGAATGACGACATATTACTTTCGCTGATGAATCATAAGTCATTTACAGATGCAATTTCATGCAAAATTGAAAGTTAAATAAGTAATTAAAGTATAGTCAACAGCCTCATCTTATTGTCTACTTCGAGACACAAAAGTAGAAACTCATTTGAAAATGTGAAAAACGTGAATAGTTCCAATTATATTGTTGTGATAAAATCATCACATATAAGTAACTGCTGTTGTTATTTTCATGAACATGCGATGTAATTTTGTTGAATTTTGCCAATTCTTAAATCACGAAAACGAAATCAGAAGTAAAAGAGAGAAGATGTAGGATGAAGAGGAAGCAATACTTTCGATTGTACTTGAGTCAGAGATGTACATGCATAGTCAGGAGAGTTCAAAAGGGTTCGAATGGCAAATGATAAACTCCAGCGGGATGGTCATTAGTTGCTGGACAGGCCACAATAGTCACATCATGGATGTATTTAAAGATTACTTTCTAGATACTTTTCTTGAATCAAAATCAAATTTTGGTTTATATTCCAAAGTGTGAGACTAAGTGTCGTTCGTTGCTTACAGAAACCAGCTAATGGACCAGAATTTCCAACAATTGAACATTTTATGAAGGCACAGAATTAAAGTTTTCGACCACATCATTATTAATCTTATTTTCTAGCAACACCCCTGCTTCAACTCATCTCTCGTAAAGCTTTTAATGTCACTTCCATATAGTTTATAATAATTTTCACTTGTGACTCAAATCCACAAATATGAAGCATATTCATTACAAAAAGTGGAACATAAGATTGCATAAAATTATCAAAGAAACATTTAATTTTCCATGTCTGCAGTTTTTGCGTTCATATCTTACCATTTTTCGGTTGCTCTTCTTCAGCATGCACACATAGTGTTGTAACTATTAAAACCGCAAGGAACTTCCACATTATTTTCACTTAACAATGCAGCAAATTGATTATAAAATAATTAAAGTAAATTTCACTTTTTAACCACACAAAAAAATTCAACAATTCCTATTAATTAATTTTTTCCTATATTTTCATTGCACAAAATGCAGCACAGATTAAAACTCTTTATTCAAGTCAAGTTGAAGGTGTTGAGCGTTCAAGATCAAGGTGAATTGTGAATCGTTTCGATATGCGTTGTGGTTATTTTATATGCGGAAAAAGAAGAGTAAGATCTTTCCTTTCCAGAAATACATTTGGAATTGCTGCTCTTTCTCTTTACTTTACGTTACTTACTATCAGTAAGCGACGACGACTTAAGTATGTAAAAATTTTCTGATGAATGAAGTTGGAAGAAACGGTAAAGTCGAGTGCATTTATGCGGATTTTCATTCAATTTCTTTTCTTTTCATCTTCTCTTCTTCCTCTCCATTGCGATCTTTTTCGTTGTGCGATCTCTCAACTTTCTGCCTTAAAATGCAGACATTTCTCTTTTACAATGTTGTAAGCTTGCTACTCACTCTCTTGATTTTTTTATTCCCAAGAGTGTCATAAGGGAAGTGTTTAAGTATGTGGAGATCGAAACTTTTTAATTCAGACCTTCCGCTCAAACCTAGAGCTACAGTTTATAATGGAATTTGGATCTGCCTGAAAATCTGTTACTGGGAACTTTGATCTGAATAGGTGTTTTGGTGAAGATAAATTATTTCAATAGAGGACCCCCAGTTTTAAGATCAGACATGTCCCAGGCCATGTCTAATTTTCGAAGCTCTTTTTCCATTTCACCGTTCTAGTTATGAAGCTCGGTTCGTATGTTGGGTGTAGTATTGAAGTCTTTGGCATAGAATGTGCCCCTTTTGCTAGGTTTACAAGGATATACTAGCATCTGGATGACTTCCTAACGGCATCTTGCGCACACGAATTGTGACTAGGTACATTGCAGTGTACATCAGGTCTTATGACGTACTTGTGTCTTTGCAATGTGCAGAGCTTGCAAGTGGTTCGGATCCCACTATAGACTGTAGGTCTAAAAAGGGTGTGGCACAAAAGATTCTGTTCTAATTTGAATCGCAGTGCCTCTAGCTGAAAGGCTGGGCCCTTCACACATTATTATTGTTATTAAGATCAGACAATTATAAGAATTTTGTATTTTCAGTGGATTTTCTGAGACTTGGCTTAGTTGGTCCTTCACTTACTCTCCTTGAATACAACCCCAATGGCAAATGTTGATGGTCAAAAAATGATTCGTGGAGCCAGCGTCGTGTGAAATAACCATATCATTACAGCTCACTTTCGAGCTACTAAATCTCACTTTATCAAACAAATAGCTTAGTTTAAAAACCGTTGAAAAATAATAAAATAAATTTGAACAATAAAAGCTCATTTAAAAATAATAAAGCTTTCATCCAACGTAAAAAAGCTAAATTTGAACTATTGCTATCACAAATTTTTAACAGTGTAAAAAACCTACAGTTTTGTGTAAGCATGAAGATTTATTTAAACTTATATTTTCCTTTCGTTGGTGAAATATGAAGATAAGATCCTAGTTTCCTAATTGCTTACCATTTATTGAAAACTTAAATTTTAATTCCAAAGTTTGTCAAGCTAATAAGTTGACTGCCTATGACTAATTTAAAGTATCTGTTTACATTTCCCCGGCAATAAAAGTTGTTTATTTCCAATGCAGCGGGAAATCAACTTTACAGTTTCTTATCATCAAGATGTTTAGACTTCTGGACGCATCAATCACGTCATAATAATCCTCACCAGCAGATGATTCATGAATTATCAATAAAATACGATTTTCACGGACATAATTTGGCATCAAAAGAAAATATTTAAGTACGCTGCTCTGACGACATGATTGATATAATCAAGAAAAGTCAAAAGTTAATTCAATGAATCATAACTGGAACTAAAGTATGCTTTTATTACATTTCCATTTAAATAAACATTATTAAATTTTTTTGCTCACACTTGTCAGTCGTTATCAAGCATTTGAAGAATAAAGATCAGATCAAATAGAAGTGCTTTTGTGAGAAATAAAATTTTGAGACTTGACAGTAATAAACAGAGAATGCAGGTTTGTTATGTTGATAAAAAAAATACATGATTTTCTGTGTGTGAAAATTTTCAAAAACGTGACTTTAACTTGTTATTTGTGTGAAGTCTCCGGCTGAGTCACATGTAAAGAATTTATTAGAGACATGATGAAATTGTCACCAGTCCATGACTTCAAGTCTTTTTAAATGCAGAGAAATCTGATTTTTAATTAATAAAGACAACTAAGTCAATTTATTAAGCTATACTTGGATGACTCAACTTTGTAAAAACCACACGAGTTTTCAAATAAATAAAAGTGAATTTTTTGAAATGCTACTTGATTTCCAAACGTGTATCTCGTGTGACTTTTAAGTGTGAACATGTTGTCTTTGGTTTTTCCATCCATCCGCAAGAATTATCAAGTAATAAAAAAATGATTGGCATTTATGTTAAATTCTCAGATTTAATTGGGAAATGCCTGCACTATTGACACGAGAATTGACAAGTATTAAGTTTTAGCATAGTCGAGGCTTGCAATACAGTACCTGAATAATACTATAGAGCCGATAAAAAATTTAATAAAATGTATTAGCATAAATTGAATAATTGAGTCGAATAATTTGGATTTGTTTTCCTAAATCGTTGCATAACTCAAGCTTTTTTGTACCGGCTGGTTTCAAAAAAGATAAAATATTTTTATGGTTTTTAATATTTAATAAACAAACAAATTAGGGTGCTTATTGTGTATATGGCTTTAAACAATAGCTTATGATAAGATACCTGATTGGTCTTTTAAGTGAACGATCTGTAAAGCTAGATGCAAAAAATATATCTAAGGTTGTAGCAGTGATTTTTGTGGCCCAGTGTCGAACCCTTTAAAAAGAAATCTGGAACCTTTAAAGAATTGCTAAGTACCTAATTCAGATCTATGATAACTAGGGTGACCATCTAATTTTTATGAAAATACAGGACATTTGATAAATTTCCTAAAAAATACAAAACACAAAGGAAAATTTGAAAATTAACGGAAATTTTCGTGAAAAAAATAAAGGACCTGGAACAAAATTTACAAATTTATACAGGACAAGTTTTGAAATACAGGACTGTCCGTTGTAAAACTACGCAGATGGTCACCCTAATGATAACTCTTACCAAATCTAAGCTCAAAAGCAGCATTAACCAAAAATCTATGCTTAAAAGTGAATCATATAAAGTCCCTGTGATACAGTAACACAAGACCCATAGTGCTTACAATTCGCATCGCTTGAACCCTTTTATTACTTGTTGAGCAGCTTCAAGCTTTTAACTTACTTACTTACTGTAACCATATCCCTATGTGGAGCTTAGATTACAACAAACTCAATCTGACTCTGTTGCTGGCCTATTCACCTAGTTTGTACAAATTCTCTGTCCGCACATTAGCTTTTGGAGCTCCTGGGCGTCTCTTCACTTGCGGATTCCATTCAAGAGTGGTGTAACAAACTTGTGTTTCTGCCCCAGCAATGACATCCTCTCTAGCGTTTTTCTTACGAAGTTTATGTCCAATCCAGCCGTACTTCCTCTTATGTATCTCTTTATTGATGTCTTATTGGCATGCTTTTTGTAGAAGCTTTTAACAGCTACTTAAAAATTTTTGTGACTGATTTGTTGACAACTTAAATTTGAAAACTTTCTAAGAACATTTTTATCACTCAATTTGATTGAGAACAGCTCAACACACACACATTCAATAAATCTTGAAGATCTCAGTTTAAATTGAAACATTATTAGTTTATTCTCAAGCTCAAGCTGCTATTTTGTTGTTTGACTTCTTCTTGTTTAATTATCACTATTGTCAAATTGATAAAACGTTAGCAAAAATGTCAATGGACTTCCCGTTATAAAGAAATTTACTAGCACGAGTGTGATGAAAAAAAAATCTTTTCAATTTCACGATGTCAGCATAAAGCTGTAAATTATTAAATAACATCTATTAAATTAACTAGGGTTAATTGATGATTATGCAGAAAATTTTGTATCTATTTGAATGTTTCGGACAGTAGGTGGAAGTTCAGGGTTGAAGTCATAAATTTTAATAGATTTGTTCCTTTATTCCCACAAATTTGAATTTCGCTTGGAGATTCGGACCCACAAAACCCCTGACTTCGTCCATGTGTTAGGAAGAGTCAATTAAGAATATTTTGGAAATAATAAATCATATTTATGTCCAATAAAAAATTGGAATTTGTTGGTTATGACTTTGGAAATTGATTGAATCATTTAATTGATACACCTACAATAAATTATTTGGAATAAGAAATTCTTACTTGCTGAAAAGATCAGTTTTTTTATAAAAATAATATTCTTTATAAATTTTTCAGGAAGTTTTATTTTAAATCTTTAACAAAGTTCAAAAAGTTTTTAAAATTAATTTAGAATAGAAAATATTTAAAGTTTCAGATCTTCAGCCTTATAAAAAATTTTCCACCGAAATGTCTATTTCAACCAGAATTAAATAATGTTGTGTATAATTTGTTTCACGTCCTGTCAACAGACCTTTTCAATCAAATTCTCATCTTTTCTTTATCATTTTAGCAACACTCATCCTCATCATTATCGCAAACAAGCTTTCATGCTGTCAAAAAATCTCTAAACATAATACATCGAACTGTAATTCCAGATGATTTGATGAGAACAAAACTTGTCAGTTATGTAACAAAGATCAGATCTGGAAGTAATTTCGATATTTCTTTACTAAATTGTACATTTGAATTAAATGCATTGGATACGATTCAGCCATTAATTGACAGTGGAATAGTTGGGGCGATTTTTGATTGTTATGATTCATTTACGGATCAGCAAAAGAGCAGGATTTTGCCAATAATATCAACAATATCCTCAACAGCTTACAAGAATGTGATTGTGTCAAAAAGTTTGGAAGATCTAATGAGGATTTTAAAGCTTGCCTACAATGAGTCAACAATGAAGAAGGTTTTGGACACAATCAAAGAATATTTAGAACTTGATGAAGCTATAACTGAAAAGATTCTCAAACTTGGTGGATTAGAAATAATCCTTGAAGCATGCAGTTCAATAAATTCAGACATCCTCTATCTATGCTCAAAAATGATCCTTTACATTGTTTTATTTGGTGGAAAGAGCTCAGTTCAAATGTTAATGAAAAGTAACTTGAATGCTTGGATACTTCCATTAGTCCACATCTATGAAGACAATCGAATCCGATACTTTGCATTCTTCAGTCTTGTCTACATCAGAAGCATCCATAAAATTCATCATGATTTCTTCGAGTATGGATTAATGGACAACAATGTTCATTGGCTGTCTGAAAATGAAATTCATCTTCGCAGTTCTGCATCATTCGAATGTAAAGACACTGCTAATTTATATCACAAACTTTTATCTATGCTGACAAGTAAAAACAGAATGGCACAGACTTTTGGAACTTTTCAGATCTGCTGCGAACTTTCATCCAATTTTGATGCATTCTCAGTTTATCATGACACAAGTGCAGTTCGAGCACTTCGACGAATTGCTGTCTACTCAAATATTATTACTTCCAGGTTCGCAATTAATGCATTGATAATTTTGACAAACATGTCAGATAATCGAGTCCAAAGATTTCCTCCAAAAAGTATTTCCGAATGGAATCAAGAAGATGTCCAAAAGTGGCTGAAGATTTTTGGATTCCAAGATTATTGTCTTTTCTTTCTTGGAATCGATGGAGAAGCTTTGATGAGGCTTAGTGAAAATGATCTTAAGAATCATTACTTTATGGTTGATTCCTGCAAAAGGAAAATGTTTCTCGAAGAAAGATCAATTTTAGGAGGCGAATCAAGCCTGAAAATGATCAAAAGTTTGCAAGAGGAATCGACATTATACCAAAGTGAGCAGTTAATAAGCAACGGCCTTTCCATAACATTCGATCAAAGATCTTTCGTGATTGACTCACCATTTAGGGTTGTAAAGAAGAAATATGATGTTTTTATCAGTTATCGTCGACAAGGCGGTTCCGATCTCGCTAGTTTGATCTTTATTTATCTAAAAGGCAAGAAGCATCGTGTCTTTTTTGATGTACAAACATTAAGAGCTGGAAAGTTTGCTGATAAATTAAAGAACTCAATTCAACAATCAAAAAATTTCATTCTTCTTCTCACGAATGATGCGTTGAATAGATGTAAAGATGAGGGAGATTGGATAGCAATTGAGATTGAAATGGCATTGAAGTCGAATTGTAACATAATTCCTATCACAAGAGATTTTGATAATAGTGCATTTGATGATAATAATCTTCCGGATAATATCAAGCAGATTAAGGAATTTAATCAGATTCATTGGCACCATGACACGCAGGTTTGTAGGAATTTTATTTAGTCATTGAGTGAAGTTGATCCTTAAATTTGATGTTTATTCTTTACAGAATTCTTGCCTCAAAAGAATTTCCGAGTAAGTATGAGAATTCCACAATCAGATGGAACCGATAGGATGTTTACATTTATTTGTTTCAATAACAAAAGTCTCGTGTTTACTTTTTGTCGTTGTAAGCTTTACCTCACTGAGAAAAACGTACACAAATAATTTCATCATTTTTAATATAAACAATTTATGACTAAGACAATATTCATTTTTGAAGTTTCCAAAATGGAACCAAATGGAATTCATCATCATGTGATAATAGTAATTTCTGGGAAATTGCAAAATCTGAAAGTTTTGAGTCTGTGATTTACTCTTAACTTCTTTCCATGTCATGGTTTTGTATTGAGATTTTCCATTTAAGCTTGAATCATTAGAGGACAGCTTTCATAAAATTTAGATGCTGCATGTGACCTGCAACTATTGCATAAGAAATAAGTTGCAATTAATAAGAAAATAATCGAAGCGGTTCTTTGGAAAAACCAATTTCAGTCTTAAACTAAGAAATTACTTAAACTATGAATTTTCCAGGTCTTTTCAACTGTGCTTATTTATATATACTATGAATATTATTGGCAATGTTGTCTTGTTCAGACATAATCTGTCCAACCTCTAGTCATAAATCAATAGCTGAATTGTAATTAATTACATTTGAAGATCTAGCAATAATATTCTGGAACTAATGAATATTTTCTCTAATCACTTAGGGCCGTTCACATATGACGAACAGGAGGGGGGGGGGGGGGGGGGGGAAGTTGGAAGAAAATCAATAGAAATTCCTGGAAATCCATTGTTCTCTTTTGAAAATTGACCGGTAATTTCGGACGTCATAAGTGAAGGACCCCTTTACTGATGCAATAAAACTATTGATTCGTCAAATTAAAGTTATCGCAGTCAGAACCTTGCCTAATCCAGTAAAGAAGCATTTAAAAACAATTTTGTTGACTGTGAACTTTTAAATTCATCCAAAGGTCAATATCAATTAAATGCTTTGTTTTTCTTTAAAATAGAAATTTCAAAAAATATGACGAAAATAAAGAATTTTTGATAACCTTATAAAGCATCTCAACACGCACTACCGGCTTTTGTTTACATACTGATTGCTTTTCGTGCTAAATAAGTTACATCAATTTAAATTAATCATGTCATAAATTATTTCATAGATATATGGAGAATAGAGACGATCCAGCATGTTTCTGGAATTGGCGCAACATGAGGAAGAGGATCAGTCACGAACAGTCATAAAAAAAGCTCAAGTATTATTAAACTAGTTATAAGGTTGCATTCACCTATTATTATGTCAATTGTTCGAGTGATAACAATTCAAATCAAAACATGAATAAAAAAAATAATCAAATATAAAAAAAACTAAAGTAGGAATTTTATTTCATGTGTGTGTATGGTCAAGTTAAGTTAGTTTTCGTACATACGTGAGAGAGAGAGTGATCTCAAAATTCATCTGGGATAAAGCTTTACATGCTTTATGAAAATAAATGAAAAAGATTTCAGTTGCGAAACAGCTCGCGATTCGTTTGGTTGTGTCTTAAAATAAGGAAAAGTGAATAATAAGCTATAATAGCTTGAGTATTAAGGAATCAAAGAAAAAATCATATCTTATTAATTCTGATCAAGTTTGATAAAATTTAAGAAACAAACAAAAAGTGACCAAGGAGAAATGACAGCGAAAGATCCAAGTCGAGAAAACCTTGGTAATGAAGAAATTCAGCAAAAAACAAGTGTTAATTGTGCTAGTTAAACTAGTTCCGATATTCAAACAAATTAAACTCATTAGCTGGTTAAAAATTTTAACGATGTCTATTTAGCAATTCCAACATAAATTATTCAGTGTTAAAAAAAATCAATCGTAATACAAATGAAAGCATTAAGTTCCCATACATGTACAAGCAATTGGCAATTTGAACAAAAAAGAAAACTTTCAAATTTGAATCGTTTAGGAAGTGAAAATTGAGATCATTTTCAAAAATTATTTGACCTCGCTCATAGCAGCATATCTTAAAATATATAATAAGACTTGATTGAATTGAATATGTGCGAAAAAGTATTCAGTAAGTGATTTATGCACAAAATGATAACCGAGAGCTTACTTGGAAGGTAAACCGTAATGATCATTGATGAGTAAAGATAATTTCACTGCTTGTTAGCAAATTACAGCCGTAATGATCCAATCGTGCAGTCAAGAGAGAAGTTTGGAAGAATGCTTCTAAAGTTCTTATTCATTGGAAGCTTCTATGCATGCAAAAGCACGTGAAGAAACGCATTTTTAACTTATTTTGTCAGGATGTTATTGAGAACTGCAGTCTTTTGTGAACGAAACGACTTCTTATTATTCGGTGGTCAAAAGGGAACATCAGCTATTTAGAATTTAAAATAAAATTGCTCAATCTAGTTTAAATCTTAAAAAATCGTTAAAATTCAATTGTTACTTCACAAAGCATTCAATCCGAAAGATTCATCTCTGCTTAGTAACTTGGCATAGAAACTAGACGGTATCGGCTTTATTTCAAACAAATTAGCAAATACCGCCTAGCTTAATAATGTGTGATGGTCAAAAAGTGTACAATTTCTCAATTTATAAGCCACCAATCTTAATAAGACACCGAGAATCTTTGAAAGTTTTTTTTTTTTATTAAATAATTTTTATGTTCATTGTCATTGCCAATCTTTGTCAATTTAATGCTATTGAAGAGATTTAAGAATGAATATATCTGGTTGAATTTCTCACATTATGAGCTATCTGGTGCTCAACTAGCTTTAAATTGATAGTAAGCACGCATAAATGTGTTAATGTAATTACTTCTTCATATCTAATTTTGAGGTCAACATAAATACTGTTAATCATCTTTCTACCTTGCATTTCTATTTGATAAGCTATTTTTACCAGCTCTTTAATTTCCCAAAGAATATGTCAATCACGTGATAATTGATAGAATATATAATGAATGGAAATTATCGAGCCGCACAGCAAGACGCAAATATTTAAGTCAACCTGTTAATTTCTATTCACAAAAATTTTTATTTCATACTTTTACTATTGACATGACTCACTTCTATGCCTTATTTTTTTTGACAATTTCTTTTAGAAATGGATGACTCGAAATTAAAGAAAGATCCAGTACAAAGTGCAATTGGTGATATTGGCTTTTGGCAAATCTTCATTTGTCTCATTATTTTCCTCCTCAAGTTTCCCGTAGCATGGCATCAAATGGGTAAGTTGAGAATGTCAACAAGTTTCTTCGATTCTAATTGAAGTCATGGCTGTTATTGTGATATGAATTTCAGTGAATTTCAGTTTCGTACCTTTGAATAAGAATCAATCAAGCTGACAATCATCACATCTGATCCATTATTGCTGAATCAATTTAAAGCCAAACTTATTACACACATGAATGTCAATTGAATGCTTTCGTCAGCAAACATTAATTCTCTTCCAAAACGACACCTGATTCATTTCTGCTGAACAAAATTCTGAGTTTCAAGCTATTGTTCAGGCTCAATTCTCAATTGAGTTTGAATGAATATGAAGGCTGAACAGTCTATACCAAGCACCTGATACATTTCTGCTGAATCAATTTGTGTAAATTCCACGACTCAATTGAATCTTTTCTCCAACCAGCCTGACTTCACATCCAAAATAAGTCTTAGACCTGATTCATTTCTGCTGAATAAATTCGACTTAATTCTCATACAAAAGCCCACATAAGTAATCTCTTCCCTTTCCGTTTGCAATTTAGGAATCATTTTTCTGGCACCAAAGCCCGACTTCACATGCTCGAATGAAACTCTCAGCAAATGTGATGCAGACTGCCCACAGCATGTGTTTAATACTGAGATATTTACCAATACAATCCAAAAACAATGGGACTTGGTGTGCAACAGAGAATATTTATCGAACTTATCGCAGACAATATTCATGCTGGGTATTTTAGTCGGTAACATGTTTTTCGGAGGTCTCGCCGATAAATTAGGAAGAAGGTAAGACGTGACATGATTTCACTTTCCATTACAATTACTATTTACTTTTTTTTATGTATTTAACAGAATTCCATTAGTCATTGCTGTAACGGTTCAGCTCATTTTCGGTGTTTTAGCTTCATTCGCTACAAATTATTGGATATTTGTCATATGCCGATTTATTACAGCAGCCGCAACAGGTGGAACAATGGTAACAAGCTTCGTGCTTGTCATGGAGATTATCGGCATCAAATGGAGAGAATTATTCTCTGTCCTTTATCAAGTTCCATTTAATTTGGGTCACTTGACTCTCCCACTTTTTGCATACTTTATTCGTGATTGGCAAAAGCTGCAGTTTGCTCTATCAATTCCATCGATAATTCTACTTTCATATTACTGGCTCATACCTGAATCTCCAAGTAAATATCATTTAAAAAATATAATAATCAATGAATCATGATCAAGTGCCATTAATAATGATAATTAATATTTAGGATGGCTGTTTACTGTCGGTCGGGTCAACGAATCTGCAAAGATTTTGGTAAAGGCTGCAAAGAAGAATGGATTACCATTTGAGCATATCAAGGCCGATTTAGAATCAGTGCAAGAGATGAAGACAGAACAAGTTGCAAAAGGAACAATCTTTGATCTAATTCGTACGAAGAACATGAGAGTAAAGACAATTTGTATGAATTTCAATTGGTTTGTTTGCGGCATGTGCTTCTTCGGTGTATCACAATATGTTGGTGAGGCTGGCGGTAACCTCTTTAAAAATGTTGCCATTTCCGCTAGTTTAGAAATTCCAGGTAACATGAATGATGATTGGATTGATTAATAATATAGCATTAAATTACGAATCTTATTAGGAACACTTGTTTGTATACTTTTACTGAAATATTGGGGACGTAAGAAGACTTTAATCATGTCAAATTGCATCAGTGGTTTTGCTTTACTCGCAATTGCATTTGTTGATGAAGGAGAGCATGAACTTATTGTGATTTTAGCAACTATCGGAATCATTGGAATGTATGTGGTTTTAATCCCGTCTATAACCCGTAATTCAAGTTAATGGTCAATTATGTTTTCAGGTGCATCTCATTCCCAACAGTCTATCTTTATGGTGGTGAATTGTTCCCAACTGTTATTAGAAATATTGCTATTGGAACAGCTAGTATGATTGCTCGAATTGGATCAATGATATCACCTTTCATTGCTAGTGGCTTAAGCAAAACAGCACATTGGTTACCTCCATTAATATTCGGAATTGTTCCTATTATTGGAGCTGTTTTAGTTCTCTTTTTGCCAGGTAAATTACTTTAATTCCATTAAATTATTAAAATGTATGCAGCATAAATTGAATTTTATAGAAACCAGAGGATTCCCACTTCCCGAGACTATTGAGGATGGCGAGAACTTTGGAAAGAAGGAAAAGAAGAAGTTAACTGCTTAAAAATGCCATATTTATCATCCAAAGCTATCAGTATACCTACTTTTTAATAATTCTCTATTAAAGTGTGATTGAGTATTTGTCACGTGCAATAAATTGATTGCCGTTGTCTGTTGATTTTCAAACCATGTATTAACGACATCTTTTGAAAATCAACAGAACTATAGACTCAGAAATAATGATTTAAAATGACAAAGCATTTTGTTGGTGAAAAGTTCCATAAATTGATTAATTTTGTGCTCGATGAGATAAATAAATGTTTTTTTAATGATTCAAAAATAATGCAGGTTTTATTTATTTTAATAGATTTCCTTTCCATCCTGACTTTTTAATATTTCTATTGCTTTTTTAACATTTTACAAAATAACGAATTTTTAGAATTCAAATCTGCAACGGTTCTTCAAAATTCAAATAATATTCACTAATTTGGGTGTTTTTCTTGCCAATTGTTTTTTCTCTGAAAAATTGAGCTTAATAATTAATTATTGCATATCTACTTGAATTTAGAGTAGCAATGTTTTATTTACCACCTGGATTCTTTGTGGCTCATCCTGTTTCTAAAGGAATCATTACATTCCGTGAATTTGACATAGCTTACAAATATGTTGAAAAGAAATTTGAGGTAATTAAATTAAAATGCATATAAATTTAATTTAATTAATTTGCCTGGATTATAGATTGAACAGCGAAACAAGCAGTTGTTACGTAAATCTCCAAACCTTCTTCTTGACCCATTACCCAAGATTCCACGATTTACAGGCGACGAAAATGAGAATAAGCAATATATAATCGATCTTGTTGATCAGTTTTACAGACTCAATAGAAGTAAGTTCCACTGGATGTTCTTTTTGAGCTTTTTCATCTAATTATTATTATTTCTAACTATAGTGTCTTATAGTATTGACGACTTTGAAGAAGAAAATCAAGTAAATGTCCGAAATTTAGAAGAAAATGAGTCTGGATACGAGAGTGACTCATTAATGATTGATGCTTCACATGATACTATTATTGCTATCGAAGATGATGAACCAGAAGAGCCTTTAATTCCAATTGAACCAACAGAACAGGTAGATATGACGTTAATTTTCTCATTTGATGATATATGCATTCATTTGGTCAACAACAACGAATGTGATGATACATTGTGCGAATCTAATCATACATTCCCAAGCCGCGAATTCGTGCTTAACAAGTTAATTGATCACACGCCAGAACAGATTAATATGGCATACGAATTGATATTAAAATCAAAGGTTTTGAAGAAAAAGTATTTGGAAGTATTCAATGGATTTATCATATTGCGGCAAGACTAGAAATGTGCAGCACAGTAGATATGTTTACCTTCTAAAAATTTAGTGAAGCTATTAGAATTAAGTTCATGAAAGTCTGATAAATTCGAAATTATTTTTAAGTGAAATAATTAATGCTCCTTTACTTTTGATTTGGTTGAATGAAATAAACAAAAAGTAGTTAAGGTTCTCGAAGAATTAATTAAACTAATGTTTTAATGATTAGAAAGTAATTAACTTTATTTAATTGAATATTTGTCAAAAAATTACTTAAAGTAAGAAAACATTAGCTTAAACTTCATCCTCATTGAGCAGCATATTTGGAATTCCATTAGTAATTGGAAATACTCGTCCAGTTTCAGGACATATTAAAGATCCATTGACAATTTCAATTTCTAGCAGTAAATGATGAAGCTTTTGTAAGAAATCTGTGTCATGTAGCGATGTCTCAACATTCATGTTCTCTGGTATTTCAGCACATCCCACAATATCAGCTGCACTTTTAATTGCCGACCATTCTAATCGCGGCAACATCCTTTGGACGAATTCTGGATTAAAATTTTGTTGCTCAACTTTCTTCTCAACAACCTACAAAATTTGTTTTATTACTTTTTCTCTTAATTATCTGGTTGATCTGTTGACTTACATTCAATTTTAGTGGATATCCTACTTTTACGCCTCTAATACATTTTGATGTGAGGAAATTGTATGTAATTAACTTCATTTTTGGTAAATTAAAGAATTTGTTTGTTATTAAAATGCAATGAAGCGAGATCTACAATAACAAGGGGCGATAATTTTTGGTAGAACTTAAATTTAAATTTCAAACCACAGTTGATTTTAGTAGATCAATTTTTGAATCATGCTGGTTTGGTTCGATTTTTTGAAAACTGGTAATATTTGAATCTTTGATATTCGTTACAGTTTAATTTTTTGAAAACAATGAAAGGGTTTTTAAAGCGTTTTTGAATATTTGAACACCGTTAAAATTCGAATTGTTAAAACCCTGAAACATTTGAATTTTTAAAAGTCGATAAAAAATGGATCTTTGATTGCCGTTAAAGGTTTAATTTTTGAAACTCATTATTTTTGTTATTTATTCATCTGAAATGAAAAATTATAATTGAGTCGAAAATAAAAGTTCATTTTCAGAATTTTCATCAGATTTAATTTTTTTATTTCACATAATTTTTCTTTAAAACCATTTCTTTCTCATAATTATTATTTTTCTCATTTATTTAAGGAAATTTTTGTCATTCCATAATCATGAACAAATCAATTTTTTTCTTATAATTTTATATGCTTTTCCATCAACAAGGTTTCCTTTATTCTCTTATTATTTTTTTTTTATTATTTATATAATTTTTCATCTTTCAATCGAACAAAAAGAAGAGGATGAAAAGGAAATAAATTCTCTAGATAAGCAATCCTTTTTTTGTTGGATGTACGAAAATAAATATAATAAAAAGTTTTTAATTTCTCACAAATACAGTGACAAGATTGAAATGTATCTTTATTACCCAGACCTTTTTTAAACTGCTTGATATCCTCAATGAAAAGCTTTAAGAATATTGGGTGTGAAATAAAATAGACTAGAAACTTTTCTGACCTCATTAACACATGAACGGCATTCACGGAAAAGGTTATAACTTAAAATTAACATCATTTATTCATCTTCATATTCTCTTCCCATTCCACCATTTGGCTATGGCTGACTTTGAAAACAATTTTCAACTTTTTAAACAAATTTACTTTGCGAATGATTTTAAAGAAATTTTTAGATGAGTTATTTGAAAGATTTTTTTTTTGTTTACTTTACATGCTAATATCATCTATTCTAAACTTTTATCTTAAATTTTTATAATTTTTTTATTCATCGCACATCCATATCTAACTAAGTTGTTGTGTTTTTCTCATCAATTCTTAATTTATTTTTTTTTGTTGCTGTTTCAGTTATTTTTGTTGGAGTTAGACATTCAATAGAAGTTTAGGAATTTTCCTTTATGGCAGAAAGTTTTAGATTTAGAATTTAGAATTTTAGTCGCAAGATAGAGGATGTGCTTTATTGAAAGCTTTTTATTGATGAAAAGTGATTTTGTGTTGCTGGAATTCTTTTTGTTGAATCAATAGTTCTGAATCTGTTCAACTTTAGACTTTTGAAGATCAATTATAAGTTTGGATCAGGTTCATGGTTGGAAAATCCATCAAAGTCTTAAATTGAAAATATATCCTACTCAAATAAGAGTTTTTGCAAACTTACCACGAGATCTCATCTTTTGTTTGAAAATTCATCAATATTTGGATCTCCGTAAGAAAAGAACGTGAACATTTTAGAATTAGACATTTCACACGATTTTGTTTGATAATATCTCGAATCTTGGTCTTGAATCATTTTTGAGATTTTATATTCAATTTTAATCAAACCTTTTAATAATTCAATGATTTAACCAAGTTCAAACTCCAGAATCCATTTTCAGATATACAAAATCACCTGCCATCAACATAACCTCTCAATCTTTAGGGATTTTAATTTCCTTTCTTCTCATTTGTATCTATTGCTTCATTTTTAGAGGAAGTTCATTAAAAAAATTACATTTTTTAAATTTCTCACTTTTTACGTATCAAAAAAAATTGTTTATAAGGAAATACTTTATTTTTTTGCTTCCGTTAGGTAACAAACGAGATTCATGTTACATCATTTTCACTACAATGACTGTTGTACATTATCTGTCGTATAATATAAATTCATATAAACTAAGAATGATCTACAGTAATAATATGTATATGCATTGTTGTGTTTCGTGTACGACTTAAAATTTAAAAAATATCAATCCTTAAATTTGTTTCTGTTTCGAATACAAATTTGGGTTGAAAAGGGTCCTGTGACGTTGATCATAAGCGACACTTAATGAATCAGCCACAAAAAGAGATTTAAAGTGACTAGATAATATCTGGAAACTGGAAACTGTCTTCTAGCTACTTCTAGGATTCATTTCTAAGTTATTCATTATATAAATCTTTAAGTAAAGCAACAGAATGAGATTTTGAAACAAACTTTCATTAATCAAGTGATTCAAAATACATTCTTGGTTTCCAGCAGTTTCCAGCTTCAGAATCTATTCGATATCTCTTTTATTGTTTGCTTAAGCTGATTTACTAAGCATCGCACAGGTGATTGTGAGGATGAAATTAAAATTATTGGAACAACTAATGCATTTGTTTCTATCTTCAGCACTAAAGTAAAGTCTAAACGTACAAATTCAGTTAATAATCTTCAGTCTATTAAAAGATTTATTTTAATCTTTCTTAACCACTCATTTCACTTGAATTATATAATAAATTCTGAATGTTTTTTAATCATACATTAAATTTAAATTTAATTAATAAGAAATATTGTTTTTGTAAAGTTGTTTATGGTATTGATTACCTAACAGGAATTCATTCTTTTTCATCATTTAACTTAATTTCTTTATTAATTGTTGAGGTAAGAAAATTATACATACATGTATGCTTTTTATATTATAATTAATTGTGGTTCTGTTCTGTTGTTTTTATTTGTGTGTAAACATTTGGTTCTAATTCGGATGAGTAAAGTGGAAATAAAATATTACAAGCATTTGTGGTCGTCATGTGGGATTGGGGGAAGGGGAGAAGAATTATGAGTCACGTAGGTGCAATTCAGGGAATTCTATTAAACAGAAGTTGCTGTTGCTTTTGTTAATCTTATTACTTCAAGTATGGAGGAGTTTTATGAGGATTTAGCTCTTTTTGAAGTTAAAATTATTTAACATTAGCTGATATTAGAATTGAAGATGAATTGAGCGAGTTTGAGTCACTATCAGGCTTATTACAAGTATATAATAATAATGTGTGAAGGGCCCAGCCTTTCAGCTGGAGGCACTGCGATTCAATTTGTAAAGAATCTATTGTACCAAACCCTTTAGACCTATAGTTTATAGTGGGATTCGAACCACTTGCAAGCTCTGCACATTGCAAAGACACGAGTACGTCATAAGACCTGATGTACCCTGCAATGTACCTAGTCACAATTCGTGTGCGCAAGATGTATACCTAGCCTGATACCTAGCAAAGGAGGCATATTCTGTGCCAAAGACCTCAAAACTACACCCAACACACGAACCGAGCTTCGTAACTAGAACGGTGAAATGGAAAAAGAGCTTCGAAAATTAGACATGGCCTGGGATTGAACCCAGTATCTTTGGCACAGAAAGCCAATGCTCTACCATTTAGGCCACTGATGCCATTTCACCGCCTTATTACAAGTAACTATGCCTGATTATCAGTGGTTTATTTACTTCAATACTCATATTACAGAATTGAGTTTTAATATATTATTGTATATTATAATATATTATATTTGTGAGCAGTACCTGTTAACAGACAATGTCTTTAACAGATCTGTCACCTGTGCCTGTGACCGGCGACCTGTATCGCAACAATGATCAAACATTCATATTTTTGGATTAAAATTTTAAAAGCTTGAAAATGACTTTTGGAAATTCATAATCATCAGTTTTCCATTACTTTGGTTTCAAATGACTCATTAAAAAATAGAAAACATCACCACATAAGTGAAAACTTACATTTTACCACAAATATCCTTAATAATCGTTTATAATTTGATAAATAGCGTCCAGAGTGCATTATAACTTCATAAATAGAACTCAAGTTGGACTCAATAACAATGTTGATTGTGAAAATTTAATATTAGCATATCCAACACCTATTTATGGCTCAAAATCACCCCAAAAAGCAACCCACTTGTGATGAATATAAAATTTAATTTCCACTTCTCATTCAACTGCATGTAAAGGTTTAAGGTTGAGTATTTTACGTTCGAATCTATCAATTTTTATTATCATGATTATTCATTTGATTCTCTTTCTAGAAAAGGGTTAACAGTATTTACGGATTATTGCTTTAAAAAAGTATCAAAAAATCATGAAAAAGGAACAAGACGAGCAAAGATTCTGAGGAGCTTGAAATGTATTTTTTTTGGTTTGTAAATTTGGTTTTCACGAGAAATAGTAGAAAAAAAATCTGTTCCACTTTGTTTGATATCATTCTTCAATGTTTTATGAATTAGGAATTGTTTTTCACATTTTTATTTTTGTCTTAAATCTATTGTTATACTAAGTTCCTTCTCATTTCTCTTATTTTATTTATTTTTATTATTTTTTTCTTTTCTTTCTTCTTTTGTTGAGAAAATTCTTTCTCATTTTATTTTATGCTTCTTTCTGCATTCATGACTAAAAAGATACTCAACCGTAATTGTTATGATCGTCATTACGTCTCACTTTGTTGTTAAAGGAAAGCTACAGCAGAAGTTCAGTGGCATAACATAAAAGAATAACAAATTGAATTTTTAAATTCGTGAAAATCAAATTAAGTGTTGCTTTCTTCACAATACACACTCACTGACAAATGAAACTTCTAAGGCTAATATCACGAAAGTGGATTAAATCTTATGCTGTATGTTGGATTTGGATTTTAATTTTCTGTTTTAAAGTAATTATGTGAAAGGATTTAAGAAGATGATAAGGTTGTATGACGAAGGATAAAGGAGTTTAAAGATCCTTAATTCAATTTTAAGTCAGGTTTGGTTAAAAGCTTGTTAAGGATTCCATAAATTTTTAAATTCAAGATTTCCCACAAGATTAAAAATAATGTTAATCAAACTTAAGTTTTAATCCTCAAATCTTAAAGTCAATAATACTCAATCTCGTAAAAGTCTACTTGTTGCCTCAAGAGCCTGAACCCACGTATTAATTCTGGAGAATTTCATTTAACTCATGCGCCACTCGGGAACAAAATTATAACATTAATATTCTCCATAAAAACTTTTTCTCAGAAAGATTTTTGGAATTTTCTTGAGATTTTTTTCTTTAAAGTGCTTTAAAGGTAAGAGCATTAACAAGAAGCCTCTTATGGAATTCAACCTGTTCATCTTGAAATAATCGTGTATTTTGCAGTATTTTGATACAAATTTACAGCAAGCGAAAAGTCGAGCAACAAGAAAGAATTTATGAAGGTTGAGATGCTTATCATTGACACATATCAATTGATTATTAGTCAATAATCCTCAATTCTTGAAGAGCAGCCACTTTCGTGATATCAATCCTTAGAATCTTCTCCTTCTCATAGACATTTATAACATTATTATATTCAATAAATATTCCATCTGTACAAGAATTTTTCAGCTTTAAAGGTCGGTTGCAGAAGAGAGAAGGGATCATTCGCTTATAACGTCACTCATCAGAGTCTGCATGATTGATATCATAAGTGAACGACTCCAAAGGTCTAATTTAAAAAAAAATAGCAATGAAGAATCCAGATTTCATAATAATCATCTCAATAATTTTCATATTATTTTCAACATTGATTCCTCATCGTTCCTTCATATTAAAAAATTTCTTAATTAGATTATGCAAGAGAGAAACTTGTAATTTAATATATTTATCTTTTTTTTTCTTGTTCATGGCATGACTTATATCAAAGTAATTGCAATGACATTTCTCTCATTGAAATGATGAAGATAAGCGTAATAGAATTGTAATAAATATTAAATAGATGGATGATTAATGGATTAGAGACATTGCATGAAGTATACAAATAATAATAATAATTTTTGCCTAATTAATTTTCTAAATATCACGATAGTTCTGAATTTCCAACAGAATATTGCGTTTCCAACGTTGGACGTCGAAGACCGGTTCGGGTTTGGGAACGTAATGATGCATTTGCTGCTGTTTGGTACGCACCTTGATACATTGGCGGGCAATCTGCTTTTATCAACTCTTGAGTCTCTCGTAATTGACGCTGCACCTAAAAATAGCAATTTGATGTTAATTTAATTGAGGAGACAATGATGTTGTCATGTACCTGTGGTGCTAAGCGATTGACCGATATTGCATGAGGAAAGCGCGGTTCTTGAGGTTGTTGAACCTAGAAAATTTAAAAATCGTTATTTAAATGAGAGAATTATGATAAATTATTTTCATGACACTAATTAACATAAAAATGTGATTCTACATTAAGGGTTAATTCCCACAAAAAGAACCATTTCCAAAACTCATGAAAATTAAATATGGTATTTAGGAGAGTCTTCATATACACCCAAATGACTTGACGCATTTTCCATTGCTGTAAACATTCTAAAGAATTTTTAATTCGGATATAATGAGAAATTATCAAAGAAACTTATGACTGGATGTAATGCAATCTCATTCTGTAGCCTTTGAGATTGTCGACTTCATGTCTGGAAATTTCTAATGAGATCTCTTGTGTGTCTTTAGATGGATTGAAAGCAGTCATGTACAGACTTTAAAGTAAACTAAGTTGTAGAGTCTGGAATATTAATCAATGAATTCGAATCACAATTGACAAGATTCTTCAATAGACCAAATGACAAACTGGATATCAAACAAGGCATTCCATGCCTAAACTAAGGGCCATGTGTAAAACTTTACAAAAAAGTTGATTTGGATCTTTGAAGAAAGAAACTAAGGGAACTCATGAGATTATAGTGGAAAAAGTTTTTTTGTGGATATCGTAAGCAGCACAATCATGAAATTGATGGACGTTAACAATTTAAACCAATTATTATTGTGATAATACTTGAGAATGTACAGCTTCTCCTCCGTAAAGTGGCACCGCATTTGGCTGAGTAGGAAAATATGACATTTGAAGACACGCAATATTACGATTAGCCGTAGCCTGTGGAATATTTGTGGCACCAGGAATTGGCGGTGAGTAATTGGATGACGGTATGACAGATGAAGCAGACAATTGTCTTAGTTGTATATTTTGCTGTTGCTGTTGTTGATATTGAGCAAGTACATGTGCTTGTTGCAGAGTCTGTTGAGGCTGAACACCATATGTTTGATGAATGATTGTTTGCGTTAGTAGTTGCTGACGATTACTTGGATTTAATTCTATTCGTTTTGGACTATTGATCGATAGATTTCCAGCCGAAACTGCAGCCGCCTGATTCGCTTGATGCTGTTGTAGCTGCTTAATCATTTGCTGTTGCGTTAATAGCTCAGCACTAAGTGGCTGTTGGAATTGAGATCTTAACTGTTGTCGACTGCGTGTCCGTAAACGGCAATAAAAATGTAATGATAACAATAAATCAGATTAGTAATCTTGACACGACACAAAACGATTGTGTATAAACAAGACGACTGTCTTGTTTGTAATTTTCGAATATCTATTATGTGGTCGAGTCATTTACAAGTGAGGTCCATAGATGATTGGATTTTTGTGACTCAATTGCTACATTTAATCAAGGGGGAAACAACACTATGAGGAAAAATTTTGGTGAATAATCTTCCAGAAAATAATTTTCCATTGTAATTAAAAATTTGGTGAGCGTTTCCAATCAAATAATTTTTCCCACCAAGTTGTTTCCCCCCTCGACCACATTACTATTTCATGTTTATTAAGATACTTACGTTAATGGTGCACTTCGCACTGGCGTGTTTTGAAGAGATCGACTTGTTGATGAACACATAGACGCTGAAAGACTCGCACTCTCCCAGTGTTGGACGAGTGAATTAAGTCTTGCTTCCTCAAGGGCTATTTCAGTCTCACTATTCGAATCATAATCCGGACCTTGTTCAATTTTCTGATCAAGCATTTTAAAAAAGTTTTGCTGACTAGTGGAAATTTCTCTGCACCAATACAATGATGATTATGCAGAGCATGGAATAAAAAGGAACAAAGGGCAGAGAAGGAATTAAAACATTTTTATCATTAAATCAATCTAGCATAAGCAATAATCTTACTGGCTCTGTAAAAGTGGTCCATTTTTCTTTAGAATAGGAATCATAACTTCATTACTGTTTGGCTCGGGAGAACTTCCTTCCGACAACTGCAACTCCTCATCGATTTTCTCCTTCTCCTTGTGTTGCTGCTGTTCATCTTCTATTTTTGGGTTTTTTTATGGAATTGTTGTTGTAGATATGTGGGTTTATTTGGTTCCATGAGAAAGAGATGCGTTATACATACACAAAAAAAAGGAAATGGAAGAAGAAATGAGAAAAAGGCATGTGAATGGAATATTTTGTTCTTTAAATGAAATTTATTGTTTTTTCTCTGTGGTTAAACATTCTTGTTCCGCCATGATAAGCAGTATACGCGGATAATTTGAACTTACTTTCTTCAGTATTCTCCTCCTCATCATCGCCAGAGTCTTCTATGTGCAATGGATTAACATTGAATGGAACAAAAGCAGATATAAAGGAGAAATTAAAATTAAAGAACAATGGAACGAAACCCGATTAGCACACATTGAAATGCTGTCTAGTTGGCAGCCTTAGTATTCACATGCAAGACTTAAATTGCTTTCGAATTGAAAACCAAGTACCAACATGGTTCTGCCCTCAAGACAACAATTAAATGTATGCTGATCGGAAGTTACTATTAAAGGTATTCGGAAAGCTTCATTAAAACTTATTGAGCATGTGAAACAAAAACACAAAAGGAAACTTCATCCATCCTCCTCGTTCACTGGCTGCTTTGTATCACTTTGTATCTTTATATGTTTTTATTTTCATTTCCAACGTTCGTTCAGAACAGAGTAGTAAAAAATTGGATCATGTTTCAGATTATATATTCATGATTTCAATCAAATGATATGGATGAGTTAAAGTGCCTGCTTAAAAGGGCAGATGTAAAGCCTTTCTTATTGCTTTATTGTGTAGAAAAATGGGCCTCGATTGATATGATAATTTTTAGGAGAAGGATGTAAATATAAAGTTTTTGACAGAAGACTGTATCTTTTTTGACTATTCTAGATTAGGGTTTGATGACCTCTTTAAGACTTCTATTTTAAGTTAGAGTACTTTTGAGTCTACCTTGTCATTAAATTCAGTTTTTAAAAATTATCTACTATCGAGTAGCTGGCAGTAGGGATTTCAATACTATTGCAGTCCTTCTTAAATTATGAAATCCCAAACCATTTAGTATGTCGCGTCCATAAAGCTTGAGAACGACTGTAGTGTCTATCCTTTGTTTATGTTAATTTGGGTCAAATAAGAGCAAGAGTAAAGTCACTTGATAGTCAAAACTGGCAAATCTTAGCAGGGTGTTCTGCCTGTATTTAAGGATCCTCTTTTACAAGATGATACTTTGCAGTAAGTGATTAAAAATTAGCGGAATTACTACCGGTTTTTCGACTCTGAACATTTCCAACTGTCATCAAAAATAATAAAAGACATGAAGACTTGCTGATTCGGAGTGAGTTTATTGACAGTCCTCAAAAAAGGTCACGAATCGCAAAGTTGAACACCTTTTGGTACTTTTCAGCAGCAGATAAATAGAAAAAGAGAAAGACATTGCAGGACCCAAATAAAAAGACTAACATCATCATCATTAAGTAAATTCCATTTTACTCATTACAGCATTTACAAATTAAATCACGTTGTCAAAAAATTAATTAGATTTGTTTCACAGAATATGACGTGCTTAATATCCTCATGGCATTTGAATGTTATTGATTACATATCAAGGCAGCAAACTTTCAATTCCCCAAACAGGAAATTTTGAACAGATTTAATTTCAATTGTTTTTCAGCACTGACTCCCACAAACATATTTGTAGTCTTTTCAAATAGAAGAAAATGGAAAGGCATTAACAATGTTGGCTATAGAAGAATAGAAATGTGAAGAGAATGGAAACAATATTATTCATATACGGAAGTAAAGCTAATTGATCTCATGCATATTGAGTGAATGGAATAATGTTGTTGAGAACCTGTTGCATATGATGCATTAAAAATGAGGCATAGCTTTATTTCCACTAATTTATACACATCAATGTAACGCAGTTTTAAATAATGAAGCATGGGCAGCGCTGAAAATGAAAATTAATAGATTTTCTGCTAGCTACATGAAAATAAAACAACAAGTTGAGCTTAAGTACATTTATATCCGTCAAACATGTTTCCTGCCATCCTACACAAAACTTGTTGCTTCAAACTTTTAGGTTTCACATATACAGAAAATGTAAATGGATTGCATGAAATTTTTCATACACAACTAATACGTTTGTCGTCTTTTCACATAAGATATCCATTCAATCCGGCTACGATTAATAGGTACATATGTTCTTGTACGACTCAAACTTTTTAAGGTGAATTGAATTTTTTTTTTAAAAAAAATAAATAAAAAGATGACACAAAAAGTTTTCATGTATTTATTTATTGTCTGCTAAGTGTGTATATGCGCACATTCAAGCGTAGCATGATGGAAGAAATAAAATATAAATTCCAAAATATTTATTAAAGACGCTCAAAATCAGAGCTGTTGTCTAGGTATCTAGCAAAAATAGGGCAGTGCTTGGCAACACATCATTTTTTCGAGATTTATTTGGAAAATTGATGGAAATTGACAGTCGTTGAAAGACAACCATTGATAGATATGGAAGCTAGTTAAGGACATAGTTGTTGTGAAGGCGTCCTTTATTTCATTTATGCTAATAGACGACAAAAGTGAAAGAATTAAGGCACATAATTTCTGAAATATAATAATATATATTTCTGAATTTGTATTGTCGGATCAGAGTAGGATCTCGAGTAACGAACTATATGTAGGAGATTAAAGGGCTTTCTTAACGAGTGGCTAATCAACAGACTGGATAACAGTTACCTTCTTTTGTAAGAATGGATGTTCGATACCCCAAAAGAGACTAATGTCTATTATCATATGGACAAATACTCATAATATTACAGACTTAATAATACTCAATCATACAATAGATTCTAGGAGACATAACTAAGTTACACAAAAACCACCTGTAAACAACTCTGAAGAAAAGAAATAATTGTGATAAGCAGGTGTTGTATTAATCATGAACATTTGACATTCTTTTCTTTCAATGCCACCAACGTCGATATCATTAGACTCAAGGGCGTAGCCAGAAAATTTTTAAGGGGGGGGGGGGGGGGGGGCATTTTCGAAAATTGAAAAACCGTTATTTTGTATCCTTAAATCTATATTCATTTTTCATAAGTTTAAATATTTAATTCATTATTCATACATTAGATTTAATTTTTCGTGCTGATTTTGACATTTCTTTCATCACTTCCTCTACATTAACTGGTTCTTCTCTATAAACACTTAATAAAACAATTATCAGATTTTTTGTAGGGGGGCCCGGGCCCCCTATGCCCCCCCCCCCTCCCTGGCTACGCCCCTGATTAGACTATGAGGTCGTTCGATCGGAATGAGAAAAGCATAAATAAAAGGTAGAAAAAGAATATTTTACTCCTGTTCCAAAGAAAATCGAATAGGAATGAAAGGTATGCACATGTATGTTTGTGTCAGTAATCATTCAATTTATTGCCACACGTATAATTTCCTTTATTACTCATCCATCGTGTGCTCAACATTCAGAACCGATATGTGCTCATGCATAAAGGCAGCAAGAAGAAGAAAATTATTTTTCTAATAGATACAAAAGAAAAACTTTCTCGCAGCATCCCGAACAGATGTACAGAAAAAAATGTATATAATAAAATAAATAAGAAGTAGAAGAAATTAAGTGATATAATGTACAAGTTTGAGTATCAGAGAGTGAGAGAGGATAACTTTATCTTTATGACACTCGCCATTCAACAATAAATTTCCCACGAATAAAAGCAGGCAAAAGAACATCATAAGTACTTGACTTTGAAGGTGGTTTACTTTTTACAGCATTTTCTTTCGCCGCTCTTTTCAACTTGATTAAAAAAAGATGAAAAAAAAAATCAAAAGAATCCCACTTTCATTAAGGCGTCGTTTATAAATGATGTCCATGAAAAAATACAATTTTTAAATCACTTTCCCCTGTCCCCTTTTCATACGAAGAAGTGTCACACAGCGTAAGCCAAAAAAATTGACATCATTTATAAACGACCCAGAAATAAACGAGAGGAAAGAAAGAAGAAGTAAGTTGGAAAGCCAATTCGACTTTAATAAGATTAGTGCGATTTCAATTAATGAGAAGAGCAGCTAATACACTTGGCGAGTGCTTTAATAAGACTAATATCTGGAATTAATACTTAATAAATTTAATGAAATTGTATTAATAGTAATTTCATCAATTTCAAGCACGTTAGTTCATTTAACAGTAATTCCACTGTATAAGGATTTTCTATGGAAATCTGTAGCTTATTCAATTTTGTATTTTAATCAATTTCTACGGTTATGAAACTGAATTAATTTGAATATAATTTTAGTTTTTCATTGGAAAATGCTTATGCAAATGAATTGACAGCAATCGAGAAACTGTAATTGAATTAATGAAGTAGATTTTGGAATAGATTCATAAGCAACTATTTATTTGGAATTCAACTATTGTTTGGCTCTAGAAATAGAACTACTGGCATATGATTTGACATTCAAAAAATGAACCAAAACTTAGATTTACATACACATAAAAATTCAACAAAATAAAAAAGGTATCGACTTAAAAACCTAGTATAAGGTTAGTTTAGGTTTATACAGCTAATCCACTTCTTCTCTAGTATGATTAATTACTTATTGAATGACCAGGATCTACATGCATTAAATCAAGGTCATTTTATAAAGGAAAAACTTCCCTTTGACCTACTTAACAACATTGTAGCAATCTTTAAGCTCCTGGATCTCAATAAGTATTACAAAACTACATAATTGCAAATGAATAAGATTCTATTTGCGCGCACACGATGAAATAGTTTTTTAATTAGATTTGTAAACTTTGTTGCTGATTGTTGCAAAAAAAGAAATAATAAAACGCAATTACGTCGTTCATTAAAGGATTGGGTATCTGAAGTCTTACTCCGAAGTTCGCCAAAAACAACTTGAATAAAATAAGCAGCAGGAGACGATAGTTATTTTACTATAATTATGACCAAGGTCATGTAAACATTATATGACATTTTCTCGTAAAAATTAAGAAAATATTTTAGGTTAAGCCTCAATAATTCTAAAATTATAGTAAAATATGACAATCTTCAGCATAAGTCTACAGAATCTAAGCTAAATGGTTCATTTACGAAAAAAAAAAACAAAGCATAAATATTTCAAAATATCTCAGAATTCCTTGAGAATGACACCATACAATGGACATTATGTCAAAACATAGATTTTGATTCTGAATTATTCAAAACCACAAAAATAGAAGAGGATGAAAAACGAAAGTAAACAAACACATTTGCCTTTAGATTTGTAG